GGTTCAAATGAATTTTTTTTTTTATTTTATACCGCGGAAAATTATTTAAGGTAAATTCGGTGAGGTTTTTCTGGGAAGAAAATCGCTTTCTGTCAGGATATCATTTTTCGCCAGTCGCGGGTGGCGTTATCGCGACTCCTCGTTATCACCGAACTCGCGCCTGACCTGCCCCACGGAAATCGCTCCATCGACGTGTTTCCTCTTGCAACTATTTTTAACGAGCTCGCAGTGTGTTCGAAAATCCCCCAGGTGCGATCTTATCGCCTTTGGGATTTCTCTTTAATCTCTCTTTTCCAGGATATGGAAACGAATCTGGGATGACTTCAAGCCTCTAAAGCTCACCTTTTCGCGTGTCAGGAACGCGTTGGCTGATGTCAAGCCGGGGTTGGAATCGTTATGGAAACGAGGGGTGCTCGATAAACGAGGTTGCCTGTTTAGATTTACAATAAGGGGATTTCTTAGGGTCGCCGACCGCCGGGGTGGAATTCCGTCCGGACTTGTCCAGATATTGAAACTTCCCTGCGATCCATTTTCACTCTTCTGAAAATTCCACAAATTTCATTTCCTTCATTTCATATCTACTGATCTTTCTTATTTTTACTTTATAAAATCACGATAAGATTTCTGGCCAAGGCGGAAATTCCGGAAAATATGGAATTTCTTCTTGATCACTCCACCTTTTGAAAAATCCTAGAGAATTCCAGAGTAACCCCTAAAATTCGTTTTCTTCGTTTGATCTCGATCTATCTCTTCATTTTACCGTTTAGATTGACAATGAGGATATTTCTTCGTTTAATCTCCACTTATCTCTCCTTTTTACTTTGTCGGTGGGGAATCCACCGTAAAAGTAGGTCGTTCCGTATCGGGCGGTTTGTCTTGCGGGAATTTCTTCCGGGCTTTAAATAGGCCTCGGAAAATCGTTTGCGCGGGTTCACTTAATTTCTTTTTTTACCATTAGCGCGCCTCGTAAATCCGCCGTTTATCCTTTTTATCCCGTTAAACGATCGGAGTCAGCGGGTCTCTTTACCAGAAGCGCCTCCACGGATTGCCGAATTTTCGATGATATCATGCACGCAGAAAAAGGACATTTGCTCTCTTACCAACAATACTCCCTAAATTAATAACAATAATTCCAGCAATCGCCTATTCATTCCCCATATGGAAATATTTCTGGAAAGGAATTTTTTCCGGCCAATTTGCGAGTTTTCATTTGACGAAGCGAGTGAAATTTTTTATCACGATGTGAATTGGTCTTCTTTATTATTAAAGTCGGCTTGGAATTCACCTCCGAATAAATGATGAAAAGCCAGAAAAAAATTATTCCCAAAGTTGCCGCCCCAGTCGATCTTTGTTTCGATCCGTGTTTGCAGCTCCAGATTAAACAAATTCGTTAATTAATTCACTCGACTCGCAAACTGTCTATCAAATGTCGGGGAGCTTTCTGAATCGTGATAATGCCGGATTCCCGGAATTTCATCGAGCTCGCTTCACGGGAAATTGTTTCCCCGCTTATCGCTACTGGCAGTCGATATCTCATGGAATTTAAATAACAAACAATCGCGCCATATTAATTGAAAACGCGAAAACCTCTCGATTGGTTTCAGGGCCGTGTTTTCCACCTGCTCCTATTTTTTTATCCTTTGCTCCTCGACTTAAAAAGGATCCGTCAAAGGGGATCATCTTTTTCATCTCCGAGATTCTCCGATTCGCGAGCTGTTCAGACCTTGACCATTTCTGCTCCAATTTGCTACGAATCGAGGGCAATTCGCGCGAAAGCGGTGTCTCGTGAATTTTAATAACCGAACTATTCTGAATGCACTGGGAAATGCATCTGGGTGTCGAGGAAAGAGGAATTAAATCCTATTTTCTTCGTTTCTGACCTCGCGTTGGGGCTCTTCATGGTCTCGAAGAGCCACTAAATGGCCCCAATTAAATTTCAAGGTTTAGGCCCATGGATTTAGATATCGAATTTTGAAGAACTTCATTCTAAGTGGTCCCATTCAACTTTCGAGGTCTTGAAGACTTTACACGATTTCTCTGAAATTTTAAAATCCACCCATTTGTGATTGCATCCTTCTCTGCACCAACCCCCATTACGTTCCTAATAATCCCAAAAAATATTCCGAAATAAAAAAAAAATCCAGAACTCTAAATCTATTTGAGGAATTCCCGTGGTTTTTAATATAACATAATTAAAACGTCGGGAAGTTATTCCTCGAGCAATAAGATCGACACCCCGAAGAGAACTAACCGGGATCTTGTTGAGGTTGACATCGGAGCGAACCCAGGATCGTCCTTGCGATCCCTCCTTGAACTTCTTGCTGAACTTGTGCAAGTTGTACGTGATCATGATGTTCATGACGACAATGAGAACCAGAGGAATGACGAGGCTGGCCAAGCTGTCGACGACGTTGATGACGATCATGGTGAGCATGTAGTCGGGCTTCATCTCGCAGGTGTCGAGATTGGCCTCGTTCTTGACAATGCCAGCAGTGTAGAAGCAGTAACAATGGAAGACGAGAGCAAAAACGGCAAGGACGAAGACGACAGCTTTGGCCCTGGTGGTGGTGGTGCAGATATTAGGTCGATGAAGAGGATACTGAACGGCTATGAAACGTTCGACGGTGAAGGCGACGATCAACCAGGCGCTGAGAGAGCTGGACACGGTGCTGATGTAAATGAGGACTTGACACCAGCCAGCTTTGTCGAAGACTTCCCACTGGACTTGACTGTTAAGCCAGACCAGAAGAAGCGACACCACGTAGACGAAATCGGTGGTCGCCAGGGCAGCCAAGTAGTAGCTGGAGCTCCGCGTCTTCAACCTCGTGATCAGGAACACCAGACAGGACAAAAGGTTCCCGACGAGTCCTACGAGGATGATGAAGGGCACGTAAAGGAGGTTGAAGTAATCCACGACCAAGCAGATCCCAGGAGCACCTTCGACGTCTTCGCCTCGACCCCTGGAGGTCTCGTTCGTCGCGTTCCAGGACCTCGTCCTCGACAGGGGGTCCAGGGTGGAGGACCTCGAAGAGAGGCCCATCCAAGCCATCTCCGAGATCGCTCCCAGGGGCTCCGTGCTCGAGTTCATGGCGACCTTCGGGATCAGGACCTCTTCACCAGGACATCCTCTTCCAATTTCCCTTAACTCGGGTCCTCCCGAAATTCCCGACAAAACCCGGGTCCAGGATCAGGATCGGGACTCCCCGAAGCTCCACAGCCTCCCACTGGGTTCCGGCATTCAGGACTGAGATTTAATTCCCTGGCGGTGAGAAAAATCCACCGAGTTTCAGGGGGGATTTTTTACAAATCTGGACTAAGTTTTCGATTCTCCCAGGACTCTCTTCATCGCGAATCCACCTTGAAGAGGTTCTGCGTCAACTTTGGAGAGTTTCACTCGACTGGAACTTTAAAAGAGTTATGGATCCTGAATTTTTCATTCAAGACTTGGCAGATTCAAGTCTGCAGGAAATCTTCAACTTCTTCTTCGAGTCCACTTCGGATATTTTATTATTACTCTTAGGATTCTTGCAGTTTCTTATTCGATGTGACGAAGTGCACTCTGGAGTCGGGGTCCCTTTTTCCTGGATTTTGATTTTTATTTATCACGTTTTGCCGTGATAAGCACCATTACTTTTTTTTTTAATCCTCGTTCTGTACGTATTTATCCTTCTTCTGGACGGGCGAAACGCATGCGGAAAACGCGTGCTGCGACGAAACCCGTCGCGGAATACACTGCTGGCAGGTCGGCGGATCTTCGCGGCGAACTGGCCGAAAAGGATCTCCGCATGCGCCGCGACGCCGACGTCGCGTTCATTCATGGACGGGCGTCCATTCGGGGAGGACCTTCTCTTCCTGAGGAATCCTGGATTGCGACGTAGCGGCCACGAGGAGAAAAAACCTTCCTATGCTTGTTTTTTGGAGGAAGATTCTTGCTTCCTTTCTTTATTTGGGGAAAAAATGAGAGAGTTGGAAAAAAGAGGAATACGTCGTTGGAAAAAAAGAGGAAGACGTCGTTGAAAAAAAGAGGAAGACGTCCAGCATCTTCGGTCCAGGGATGACGTCCGAGGGACCTCATTTTCGAAAATGGTCACGTAAAGTGTACCGACTCGCGTAATTCATGCACAAGAAATTATTCTTCAACATGAAGTTGCATTAACCGAGTATGTACCGTTTCGGGTGAACTTTCGGCTTTAGATATTTTTCAAAAATTGGAAATGTCACTGCAATTCCGACCGAATATATATGCCATATATATGAAACCCTGGAATAAGGAAAACTGTGAGGATCTTCCGATCCTTCCAGGACTCCGTTTCCCACGGGTTTCGTTTCCGCGAGTGGAGGTCATTTGTTATTCGAGGAAAATCGAGACGGAGCTGCGTGTCGGCGATAAATAATCCGCTACACGAGGAAGAGCCATTTTTTATCAGTCGAATCATCGATCTCCACCTTCCGGCTTCTTTTTGCAGGACCCTTTTTCGCGTTCCAGGACTTCCGGTACCGAAACTCCTCTCCTGGTGTTCTTGATTTCACTCATTTTCCAGGAGTAGCTCGACATCCTTGAAAATTAATCGAATTTAGCAATTAATCGATTTTTCGCAAGTTTATCGAGGTTCGCTGCAGGTGCGCCGATACTTCTCACCTGGGGGTCCCCTGCAGGTGCAAAACGGGATCGAGCTCGATATTCCCGAGGGCAGGTCGGGAACACGCGAGATGGTGCAGGATAGAAAATCGGGGGTGGAAGTTTCAACCCCTGGAACGCCTCTCAAAGGGTGATTGCATCGGTGATCGATCTTATCAACACGCGAATCCGTGAGTGGAGGCGCGATAACCCGAATTCGCGGGCGACCAGGACTACCCCGAGTAATGAGTGCCACAATTAACAAAGTTCAGGAAACTAATAAATATTGACACTGACAATATTCCCAGAATTTTGCAACATATTCGTGAGGTTTGCAAGAACCAAATATTACTAATACTACATTACTCCTTCCTTCCTTCAGTGCTACGAGGTCCTGAAGGACTCTTGCACCTTCCTGAAGGGAAAACCGCAGCCCAGTGGTAAACCCTTCACCCCCGTACACACTTTCGTCCTGAATCCCAAATCCATCACCATGGGACAACTCTATGGGGAGTTTGACCTCGATACTCACGAGTGGTGAGTAATATTTAATGCACTTTAAAGTTCGAGCACAGAACTCTCTCCGGTGGTCGAAAAACTGAACGCAAAAGCCGGATGCACCGCGAATGCATTTTCGGGTGGCGAAACACCTCGTGAGGGAGTTTTTTTTAAATCCCTGATTTTTCGCTCCAGTTTTTCCGGGATTTCGCGCGAAATTGAACACCGTTTATGATTTTCCAACACGCAGAGATTCGGGTTATTTAAATGTAAAATAGAGTGGAGGGCGAAATATCGGATGGTTTAAAAGGTGAGATTTAAAGACCACTTGATAAAAGTAATTATTATTACACGTGGAAAAAAAGGATCGAGTACTTCGACGTCGAAATTTAAAACGCGATGGCTGGTTTGATATTTAATATTAACAGTCCATTTAATGAAACAATTATTGTCGTATTGCAAATGCAAGTACAGGATGCACTTTTGGGTAGCACCTCGCGAGAGTTTTTATAAACGTCATTTATAGTTTTCAACGCGGTAGAATTTGTGTTATTATAAATTTTAAATGGAGTGCAGTTACGAGGAGTATTGAGAAGTTGAAGTTGAAGTTTACATGGCGGGGGCTGGTTTGAAAGTTAAGATTTAAAGGGACCGAGAAATCGGGCGGGCGTTTAAAGTTTAAATGCCCGGGGTAGGTTTAAAGGGACTCGGGGAGACGGCGAGAAAATTTCCCTCGGACAGATTTCCCGAATCCCGGGGTAATTCCTGGGGAGAATGGCCCGGGGAATAGCGTCGAAATAGGTGCGGTCTCCCGTCCGCTCCCTCGGGAAACCGGCAGCGATAAAAGGTGCAACCGGGAATTGCGGCGGCTCGCAAATTGTTTGGCTTGTGTTTCCGGAAAATCGGGAAACTGCCTCCGTGAAATGTTCGGTTGTCGCGGGTGAATCTTTTTCCGGGATAATTCCGAGTTTGGATATAAAATGCATATACAAGTTGGCGAAAATTGGCGAACAGTGGCCGAGGAATAATTTATGAATGAGTGTATGAAAATTATGTCATCGGGTAGTTTCTTGGCAAAATGTGTATTTCTTACCGTTTGCTCATTTCATGAACTCTTGTAACGATATATCGATCGGGGAGTTTGGACCTTGAAGACTTATGATTTCACCTTAGTATACATATATATTAAAGGCCTTTGATTTCATCTCGGTACACCTAGAAGGCCTTTGATTTCACCTCGGTGCACGTTGAAGACCTTTGACGTTACCTCGATACACCTTGATGCACTTTTTTTTTTTTCACCTCGGTGTACCTCGAAGACCTTTAATATTACCTTTGCATTAAATTCTCGAGGTTTTTGTCATCTAAAATTTCACGCTTTCTTGTTAACCAGATATACCTTGAATTTAGGACCGACGGCATCTTCTCCAGCCTAATCCGTTCCGGAACGTCCGCGGCGGATCTGGACAAAAGATGGTACATTTTCGACGGCCCCGTGGACGCGGTCTGGATAGAGAACATGAACACCGTATTGGACGACAACAAGAAACTCTGTTTGACTTCCGGTGAGATCATGAAATTGTTGCCGACCCAGACGATGATGTTCGAGGTGGCCGACCTGAGAGTGGCCTCTCCCGCCACGGTTTCCAGGTGAGATGAAAAAGGAAATAATCCACCTCCAAAAGTGAGAATTTCCGCGTGACGGTATTCACATCGTTACCCCAAAAGTGAAAATTTCCGCACGACAGTTCTCGTCATTTCGAGCGATAAAATGATAAAGAAGAGTAATCACCTTCCTAAAGAGAGCCGCCGTCTTCGTCTCGTCAGCCAGCAGGTGTCGAGCAGACTCGACAAGAGACCCTGAAATCGGGTCACGTCGACTGGATGTTAGGATTCCCGTCGATCATTCTGCTCCGGTTCTTCCTCTGGTGGCGAGACGTGCTCCAAAATTGAGCTCCCCAAAACGCGCGGCGGAGTCGCAGCTGTCGGTAGATGGAAATCGGAGCAGCCCTGAAGAGCGCGCAATAAAGGCTCGATTTACGAGGCCAGGCTGCTCCGAGTGTGGATTTTTATTTGCAAGGGCCACGTGCGTGCCTAAGCCCCTTTTCCCATGGGGAGCTTAGGCGCTTAATTAGAACGACCCTGAAGAAGACCCCGAAGAAGACCCCCCAGACCGCGCCTTGCATCCCAAGAGTCTAACGTCCTGGTCTACCTAAAAACCAGCCCGATGAAGAGACCTCCCTAATTACCCGCGATTAATTGATATTGGGAATTGTGTCACGGGGTCTAACGTTGTCATCGATCTAGATGCGGCATGGTGTACATGGAGCCCGAGGGCCTGGGTCTGGATCCCCTGATCGATCGATGGATCGGATCCCTGCCTGCTGTGAGTCCATTCAAGACCATCTTGCTTGCTCTTCATCCTCTTCTTCGAGTTAGATGATTTCCATTCTTTTTTCACAGAACATGAAGACCCATGCCGGGGAGATCTCTAGATTGACCAGGCTGTTCCTGGTCCCGGGTCTGGACATGCTGAGAAGTCGACTCAGGGAGATCGTTGCTACAGTGGATGCTGGGATGCTGAAGTCCTATACGAATCTTATGGACTTCAGGATAGGCCCCATGGCGGGGAGGGAGGGGAAGGCTCCTCCACCTGTCCAGGCTCAAAGACTGATTCGTAAGTCCAATAGTGGATTTTTTTTTTATTTATTAAAAATATTGATATACGCCGGTGAATTTTAAATTACGTCTATTATAGAGGATTCATATTAATTCAATTCCCATAAAATGGAAATTATCTTCAGGTAACTTGTTGGGCCCCTGGGTGGTCTTTGCTCTCGTGTGGAGTGTCGGGGCCAGCTGTGATTATGCAAGTCGGTGCATCTTCAGCGAATGGGTCAGAGATAAGCAGAATGAAGTCGACGATGCCCTCCCCTTCCCACCTGACGGACTTGTCTTCGATTACAGGTAGGACTTATCACCAAAATTCGAAAAAGTAGCCATCGGAAAAAAATCTCACCTCACCCCTAATTTGTTGAAAAATTATTTTCAGACTGCATGACGGCGGATTTACCGATCACACCGAAGATGGGGAACCAGCACCCCCAAGATGGATCAACTGGCTTGATAACGTCCCCTCTGTTATCATCAAGCCCGACACGAAATTTGCGGGTAATCGTCTATAAATGAATCGATTCGAAAATGAAAGACCCAATGTTTAATGATAATTGTAGAAAATTCAGGACACTTTTCATTCCTGTCTCTGCGAGTGCGCAATGCGTGTTGATAAACCCGCAATACATGTATACGCGTCTGCACGTTAATTATGCTCTGAAGTACATAGGGAACAATTGTCATTAGCCGGCTGCATCCTTAACAGAGGCAACCCCAATTAGAGAATTTGCAAACGATGCAAATGCCCTAGGTGCGTAAGCTGCATAAACGAGGTCAGCTCGGGGCCGCTGATAAGCATGATAAGTGGGAAAACAAGTACCAAAATGCGTTGAAAAAATGATTTTTCACAAGAGGGGCCATTTTCAAATATGGAGATTCCGACATTACAGAACGCGATTAGTTCAATTTGTGCCGATAAGCGCGATAAACCAGCAAATCTATACTTGGAATATTTAAAAAGAAATTGATTTTTCACTAGAGTGGTCATTTTCAGACATGGAGATTCCGACTTTGGACAACGTGAGGAGCGCCGTTCTTATCGGCTACCTTCTTCAAAACGAGAGCAACGTCCTTTGTATCGGACCGACCGGAAGTGGCAAGACTCTGACGGTCTCCACAAAATTATCTCGACACATGCCGAAGAAGTACATTTGCGAGTTTGTCACCTTCTCCGCCCGCACTTCCGCTAATCAGACCCAGGTGATCCCAATAATTATTCCGACACGTAAAAATAGCGTAAATAAATTAATCCAACCCCCCATCGATTTTTTGTTTAAGGACCTAATCGACTCGAAATTAGACAAGAGACGAAAAGGGGTATATGGACCACCGGTCACGAAGAGGTTGATATTCTTCATCGACGACTTCAACATGCCAGCCCTTGAAGTGTATGGGGCCCAGCCTCCCATAGAATTAATTCGCCAGTACATGGATTTCCGGGGTGAGTTTAAAAAAAGAATCGAAAATTTTCCTGCCCATTTTCCAAGTTTGGCAATTTTTTGAGGTGGCCCATGTCGAGGGGTCGAGTCCACCCTTGGTCACTTAGTAAGTGCCGGTCGATTATCATGCATGTGCGTAAGGGAGGTTCGATTAACCCCCCTGGAAGTAAATGCGGAAAAAGCAATTTCCCTCGAATCGCCGCTAAAAAGCCCGCTCTGGCCGCTATGCATGGCAATTAATCCGTATCGGCTGTTCCTGGTGATCGATCCTGGGAAATGACCGATCGATCGATCGGAGAGAAGTCCTCCTCCCTGAAGACCTTTCCATAGTGACTTTTCCTCCTTTTCTTAACTCTTGTCGTAGATGTCACTTTGACACCTCTCCTCAAGGGGATACAACTTAATTAGTCAGGAAAATCGAATTCCAATTTCCTTGCTTCACTCGAGTGCCACTTCATGGTATACATAAAATAAAATATAAAACACATACTAGTGTCTTAGTAAAAAATGTAGATCGATAATGAGCACCCTGAAAAATTTTCCTCGGTAATAATTCATGAGTTTCGAGAGGCTGCAATTGTTTATAGTAATGTACTATTAAAAGGACGAAGAGGGAGGGAGATTCCATAAATCTTTTCTCTCCTTCCGGGAAGGTAATGGACCGAGGGACGCTGCGCCTCGGAGGAGATTCATTTTCTCTGCCGATTTTCCTCCCGCTCTTGTCTTCCGATTATTCGCCTTGTTTGACGCGGAAGTCGGTCTCAAAATGTCGTTAGCAGTTCTCCAGTTCAGGTTTTACTCCGGTGCACGTGTGCCTCACATGACGATTAATGCATTACGCGTGCCGAGCGTAACGACCGGCCCTGATAAACGGGTGCATCTATCTAGGTTGGTTTTTCCCCCTTTTCTCCTCTTCCCCTTATCCCTTGTTTCCATTCCCGCAATCTTCCCCTCGAGCGACGGATTTCCTGGATTTTCTCTTCTCGAGACTTTCTTCCTTCTTTTTCCCATCGCGACATCCCGCTTCTCCTTAATTATGCATCCCGGATAGGGAATGCATAGGAATGCAGGAATCCTGGGATCCCCCCGACATTTCACAGACCCCTTTCGGGATTATTTCCTCGAGAGGAATTTAATGTTAATTTTCGGACCAATTTCCCGACCTACGCAATCCTACTTCCTATACTTCCGGACTGAGGGGGCGGAACATCCGGTGGGAGATCCTGAAGAGCAGCTTGCAATCTGTCGAGAGCAAATCGAGTAATGAGCTAGATGAGTTCGTGAAATCCCCCGAATTCCCCATTATTCAACATGAAATTATTTATGGAATTTCTTAATGGGCCTTTGAAAAAAATATTCCATATCTTTGCAATTTTTCTTCCCTTTTTTCTAAGATTTAACAAATTTGTATGTACAACATAAATTTATCAGCCACGTGTTCGACATGTCTTTTCCTCCATTTTTTATGTCTATGTCTAAGGTCGGTGAAACGGGACGAAATAGTCCAGGATGAGATAACCAGGAGACGTCCCTAGGGACGTCTGATAGCCCACTTATCGACAGCGTGTCACGAGACACGTGTCGATTGATAAGACGTTTTTTTCCCGGCGATTCTCCATTGCGATTCCAAAACTTATCGTCGGCTTTCCTGAATCTGTTTTTTAGGATGGTACGACAGGAAGGAGATCGGAGAGTTCAGACTCATCGAGGATATTAATTTCGTGGGGGCCATGGGCCCCCCTGGGGGGGGTCGAAACCCCGTGACAGCTCGATTGTTACGACATTTCCATTTCATCGCCTTCCCCGAGATGGAGGACGACGCAAAGGTGGGAAAAACAAATCATACCAAATGCACAGACCAATATGAAATTAGGAAAAAATTGTATTACATCCGTAACTATCCCAGGAATATTTATATCGGGTTTTATTCCTATTTTTATTACTTTTTAATTACAGAAGCAATAGCATTTTCATACTCCGTTTCACATTTTCAATTATTTTTTCACCTCGATTTTTATCAGTCTCAATTATACGCCGGTTTCGGCGATTCCCGACTCCCGGTGGAAAAATAAGGAAAGTGGGAAAAGTACCGAAGTGAGGGCAGAGCGATAAGGTACTATTCCATATCAGTCACGCCCATTGGTAATTGGGCCGTTCGAGGCCGGGCAGACCCGGGCCTCGTCCAGGAGGCGAACTTTGTTTGCCGTCCTTACATCGGGATCCCTTCTGCAATTAGACCTCGTAACTCTTCCTCGGAGTGTCCGTAATTCCAGGTTACGAGCCCCGACGCGCGTAATGGCGCGAGTCGAACCGTGAGGAGCCATTAGATAGGGTCTCACTGAGCGCGTCGAGCGCCTCACCGACCGCGGCGCGTCCACACGGCGTGGCTCACGCTTTAATCAAATTTTCAATTTCCATGCCTGAACAAAAATGTATAACCCGAAATTCTCAAAACTATTTTAATTACTACAGATGCAGATTTTTGGGACGATCCTGGAGTCCTGGCTAGGAAGGGCTTCCGCTCTTCAGGGTCTCCTGGAGAACTTGGTGTCAGGGACTTTGGAGGTCTTCTCCACGATCTGTCGAGAGCTTTTGCCCACCCCGGATAAATCTCATTACACTTTTAATCTGAGAGACCTGGCGAAGGTCTTCCAGGGGATGCTGATGGTGGAGCCTGAGAGGCTTTCGGTGAGAGATGGTCTCTTCAGGGTAAAAATTCGGGAAAAATATCAAGGATAATTCGAAATCAGAGCCTGGAGGAGGTCTTCGTCCTCTGGTACCACGAGAACCTGAGAGTCTTCAGCGACCGTCTCGTCAACGACGTGGACCGGAAGTGGTTCGACGGCTTGCTTCGAGGGATCCTGAAGAGGAGTTTCGACTGCGACACGGATGAGGTCCTGGGTCAGGAGTCGATATTTTTCGGGGACTTCTGCAGCTTAAACGACATCTACGCCCGAATAACGGACGTGGAGAAGGTGAAGTACCCGAAGGAGCACCTGAAGACCTCTGACGTTCTCCAGGGTGACGCTTGAAGGCCATTAAGGGCTCTTCTTGTTTTGAATTTAATTCTCTTTCCCTGGAATCATTTCATCTCCAGATGGAGAAGGTCCTGCTGGACCTCCTTGAGGAGTACAACGGAGCCACGACCTCCCCCATGAGATTGGTCCTGTTCGAGGACGCCATGGGACATGTTTGCAGGATCACCAGGATCCTGCGCCAGCCCCGGGCGAACGCTCTGCTCCTGGGGATGGGAGGATCGGGTAAAATGGGATTTTTCCCCTCGTCTCCTAGATTCGCTTCCCCTCTTCACCCTCGTAGGGAATCTTCAGGGCCTTGATCCTTGCAGGACGACAGAGTCTCACGAAGCTGTCCTCCCACGTCAGGGAGTACTCCTGCTTCCAGGTCGAGCTCAGCAAGGCTTACTCCATGAACGACTGGAGAGAGGACCTGAAGAAGGTGATGATGAAGGCCGGGGTGCAGAACCGTCAGATGGTCTTCCTCTTCTCCGACACCCAGGTGACCCTGAAGAGTAAAAGGATAATTCCCACAGACAGAATTCAATCATTTTCCGGATTTACAGATCAAGAGCGAGTCCTTTCTCGAGGACCTGAACAATATCCTGAACAGTGGGGACGTGCCGAATATTTATCAACCTGAAGAGTACGACACCATCTTCCAGGTGATGAAGGGAGTGGTCCAGGCTGCTGGGCTGCAGACTACCAGGAGCAATCTTTATTCCGCGTACTTGAAGACCGTCAGGGATAATCTACATACGGTCATCTCGATGAGGTCGGCGCTCCTCGTGTTACTCGGTTTCCCCAGATCTCCTGAAACTGGGCCACCTCGACCCCTGAAGAGGTGGGGCTGCTGATCTAATCACCCCCTTTCTCACAGCCCTATCGGGGAGACCTTTCGGGCGCGTATCAGGCAATTTCCGGCCCTCGTCAACTGCTGCACCATCGACTGGTTCTCCCCATGGCCTGATGCCGCTCTTCAGGTTCTCTTGAGTTTTGGACTTCCTAAAAAGAAATAGAAAATGACTCTAAAGTATCACTGAATTTTTTAGAGTGGTTCTGGAGTATCGCCAAAATTCCTAAAAAAATATTGAGCACATATATTTAGACTGAAAAAATAATTTTCTTTCTTACATGCTGACGAGTTCCCTCAAATTCTAGAGCGTAGCCATACAGTTCCTGAGGGATACCGAGGACAGTTCCATCACCGACGAGGTTTTAGGGTCTATTGTGAAGACCTGTCAGTATATGCACTCCAGTGTCATCAAGGCCAGCGAGACGTTTCTGCAGGTTCCCTCTTCAGGGTCGAAGCACCCTCTTATAGACGGCACTTTCTTCCTATATTTTCTTTCCTTTAATTAATTATAGGATATTTCTTAATTTCTAATTAATATATTTGGCGACACAACTTAGGAGCTGAATCGTCACAACTACGTCACTCCAACGTCATACTTGGAATTATTGTCCAGTTATGGCGACCTCTTGGCCAAAAAGAAAGAAGAGTTGACAATGGCGGTAAATCGACTGACCACAGGTATTTAGAAGATGATTACTAATCTCGGGTACAAGTTCCATTCCAAGAATTATTAATTATTAAGAAGAGTAAGAGAAAGATCGCAATTCCTCCCAAGCCGCAGGCGTATGAAAAAAGCAAAATGGCGGACGTCCAATCACCCACGCCGACGGAGTAACGAGACTCGTTTACGTGCAAATGTACGGCGGCTCGGCGAGATTAATTACTCCGTACATCGGTGAACGAATTACCAGGGAAAGTGTCTGGTCATTTTAGAGCGATGCACCGTGCGACTTCGGTTAGAAAATCTCGGAGGAAAATGGCATCACCGATAAACTCTCATAAATAAACTCCGAACTAAGGGGGAAAAATTAAGCGTTAATTCCAAGTCTAGTCGAGCTGGCATTTTTATCCTGCCTAATTTTTTGGGATCCATTTACACCTTCAGGATTAGACAAACTGGCATCAACGGAAGTCGAGGTGAAGGAGATGCAGACGACCCTGACGAACATGAAGCCGGAGCTGGAGAGGGCCGCTGCAGCCACGGCGGAGACGATAAAGCTTATCACTAAAGACACGGTAAATCTCGACCCTGAAGAAGGGGATGGAAATTAATACGTAAGAAGATTAAATCTGACCGCAGGTGGCGGCGGAGAAAACTCGAGCAGAAGCTGAAGAGCAGGAGAGAGCTGCGACGAGGCTGAAGATGGAGAACCAGGATATCAGGGACGAAGCTGAAGCGGACCTTAGTGAGCTTATTAATTTTTTAATATTTGGGAAAAATGGTATATTTCATATTTATGGATCAGGTGTGGCCAGGCCGATGTTGGAGGCTGCTGAGGCGAGCCTGAAGGCACTCAACAAAAATGACGTCACGGAAGTGAAGGCCATGAAGAGACCTCCGGTCGGGGTGGTGTTGGTCATCGAGGCGATGTGCATAGTCAAGGACGTGAAACCGAATAAGGTGAGGCTGTTGTTCCTTATCTGTGATTTAAGAGATTTATTAATTTAAATGTGTACATTGCAACGCTGATGACACACTTGTGGCGCTCTTCAGGTTCCAGGGAAGAAGCCTGGCGAGAAGATCCTGGATTATTGGACCCCTGGAAGTCAGATGTTGGCGGACCCAGGGCACTTCCTTTATTCCCTGGAGAACTTCAACAAGGAAGAGATCACCGAAGAGATGATCTCGAAGCTGAAGACATACATCGAGAACCCGGCTTTTCAACCCCATAAAGTCGCCCAGGTGTCAAAGGCCTGCCATTCGCTCTGTTTATGGGTCCATGCCATGTACAACTACTACTTCGTCAACCTGAAGGTGAAGCCGAAGATGGAGGCCCTGCAGAAGGCTGATAAGATCCTGAAGGAAACGGAAGAAACTCTGGCTGTCGCTATGGAAAGTCTTCGCAAGGTCCAGGAAGGCATCGACCAGCTTCGGGATGTTCTTCGGAAGGAGGAGGAAAAAAAGGCGGAACTTGAAAAACAGAGACAGCTTTGCGAGGACAGATTGTCAAGGGCTGTGCGTCTAATCGCGGGGTTGGCCGATGAGAGGGGAAGATGGATCTCCACGGTGGAGAACCTTGAAGAGTCCCTACGAAACGTCGTCGGGGACATTCTTCTATGCTCCGGTACATATTCTAATACTTTCTGTATTTTTAATTATTAATTCCTCATGAAATGTCCGTTGGTACTGATTCTTTCGAGTATACCGATAATACCACTCTGCTTAAAAAAAATGGAAAAGGTAGTTTTTCATATTTTAAAAAAATTTTACTTTTTCTTTTCAGGGGCTGTCGCGTATCTCACGCCGTTCACCGATACGTACAGAAACGCGCTGCTCTCTTCATGGTATTCGGTCCTTGGAGAAGGTGTTCCCCACACATTGGGATGTGGTCCCGTGACCACTCTCGGTGATCCCGTGTCCATCAGGAAGTGGCAGATCGACGGACTCCCTCGGGACTCCTTTTCCGTGGAGAACGCAGTGTTAGTGATGCACTCGAAGAGGTGGCCCCTCCTAATCGACCCTCAAGGACAGGCCAACAAGTGGATCCGCAACATGGTGCGCCATAATCCACCCTCTTCAGCTTCCCGAATTTATTTACCCCTTACATTTGCGCGAAGGGCCGGCCTAATGTCGCAGGATGTCATCTTCCCTTTGGCAATCTGCCGATACAACCTGAAGAGAGATTTATCCTAGACTGCGTCGAAGGACGTCATAAGACCAAAAGGCCGAGTCGCGTTTAATGACTTCCGGATCCTGAGAACCCTGAAGAGAGCTCCCTGATTCTTTTTTCCCTAATCCTAAGGACCTCTTTTCAGGGCAAACAAACAGGTGGCTTCTCAGTGGCGAAGATGACCGACAAGGACCTTCTCCGAGTCGTGGAAAATTGCGTCAGGTTCGGCAGGACCTGCCTCATCGAGAACGTGGGGACGGACCTTGAAGCAGCCTTAGACCCCGTCCTGACGAGAGCTCTCTTCCGACAAGCTGGACAACTCAACATCAAGATCGGCGACAACGTGGTGCCCTACAACTTCGACTTCAGACTTTACCTCACCACGAAGTTGCCAAATCCTCACTATACTCCTGAAGTGGCGATCAAGGTCCTTCTGGTGAACTTCACCCTGACTGCCAGGTATTTCTAAAGGACCTGCTCCACTCCCGAAATATCCTGAGATGTCGAAGAATACCCTGAACAGACTTTCGGGATTTTTTCCAGCGGGTTTCTCGACCAAATGCTGTCTTTGGTGGCGATGGAGGAGAGGCCCGACCTCGAGGAGTCCAGGAGCATCCTGATCGTCTCCAGCGCGCAGATGAAGAGGGACCTGAAGGACATCGAAGACAGGATCCTCTTCAGACTTTCCGCCTCCGAAGGGTCGGCGGTGGACGACATCGACCTCATTGTCACTCTAGAGGCGTCAAAAGTCAAGAGCGAGGAGATCAAGGTGGGTCCAAGGTTCTGCATGAATTTCGAGGACCCTGAAGAAGTTGGCAATATGTGATAATTAACAATAAATTGCATACAAAATATTAACCCCCTTCCAGGCCAAAGTAAGAGCTGCCGAAGTGACCCAGGCTGACATCGACGTCACGAGGTCCTTGTATATTCCTGTGGCTCAAAGGGCTCAGATCCTTTTTTTCTGTCTTTGTGACCTTCGCTTCATGGACACGATGTATCAGTACTCCTTGGAGTGGTTCATCAACATCTTCGTCGGCAGCATCGTCAACACTGAGAAGAAGAGTTGAGTAGACTCTATAGTGATGTATAGGTTCCAGGAGTAAAGGATAAAAATGGTAAGAAATTCGGGAAAATTTGAAAAATCCTTATTTTTCCAGAGGATATCATGAAGAGGGTGGAGAGCGTCAACGAGAACTTCACCTTCGCCCTCTTCACCAATGTCTGTCGTAGTCTCTTTGAGAGGCACAAATTGCTCTTCGCGTTTTTACTCTGCGCAAGGATCAGGATCGAGGACCGAAAAATCGACCCCACCGAGTGGAGATTCCTGCTCTCAGGAGCAGAGCCTCTTCAGGTTTCTAAACTTCCGATTTTTCAATTTCATTCTCGCCCTTGATTAATCATTTTAATAATTATCTGGGATTTTTCCTGCATCCTGGATCAGCCGCGACCGAATCCTGCCCCAGAGTGGATTTCGGCTCGCTGCTGGAAGGACATCCAGTCCTTGGAGAGCCTCCCAAAATTCGAGAACTTCCTTCCGCACTTCTTGAAGAGCTTGCCTCGGTTCAAGGAGATATTCGACTCCCCGGACCCTGAAAAGTAAATCGTCGAACTTGATCAAGTAGAAAAAATTAATCCCAGCTCAAAATGCCGACCTGACTCCCTACAGGAGTTCATACCCAGAACCTTGGAACTCCAGCCTGGACGACTTCCAGAAACTCCTCATCCTGAAGTGCCTCAGGCCTGACAAAGTGACCAACGGGATGCAGATATACGTCACCAGATTCCTAGGGGAAAAATTCGTGGAGCCGCAGACCACGGAATTGTCATCCATCTTTAAGGAGTCCTCCCCAACTATGCCGATGGTTTTCGTCCTTTCCACCGGCACCGATCCTGCGGGAGAGCTGTACAAATTCGCGGAGAAGCTGAAGATGGGCAAGAAATTATTCACCATCTCCCTTGGGCAAGGTCAGGGTCCAAGAGCCGAACTGATGCTGAACAGATCCATCGAGGTCGGAAACTGGGTCTTCTTCCAGGTGCATTTCTTTGGTTAAATAAATGTCTTTTTTTTTTTTACTCAGTGCGTAATCATTTTATTTTTCTTTCCGTATATTCGAGGCATTTCCTATATTCATGGGACGATGGAAGCTGCGCCATCGGCCAGTTGTTTTGTCACCTCGTTCTCCTGATAAGAGGGAACGAGGAACCGGGGATCCCGGGGTTTCATTTGATCTCTCGAGGGGTTTCATTTGTCGGAGACAGAAACGGGTCTCTGGCCTGGCGACCCCATTAACTCGCCCTGTCAAATTGATTGTCAACGACGCCAGTGACGACAGTTTGTCGCCAATTAAGGACGAGCCTTCTTCCATTAAACGAGGCGCACTATATGTCCTCCGAGCCCTGTGCAATATCTCGCTTTTCCTCGAGGACTCTATTCATCTCGCTTTTCCTTTCCCGACAGAATTGCCATCTGGCCCCGAGCTGGATGCCGAAATTGGAGGAGCTGGCGGAAACCTTATCCGTAGATTCCACGCATCGGGATTTTCGCCTCTGGTTGACGTCCACTCCTTCGGCTGCATTTCCTGTCAGCATCCTTCAAAATGGGTGCAAGATGACCGTCGAGCCGCCCAGAGGAGTGAAGGTCCTGGAAAAAATTTATTTCTGCATACCAAATTAATTACCAATTTATCCGGAATAAATTGTTTAACATTTATTTTTTATAAATCTGGATCAGGCAAATATGCTGAGAGCCTACACGAGTCAAGTCGCGGAATTGAAAGACTTCCTGCAATCGGAGCACCCGAAGGTGAGCACCTTCAAGTACCTTCTCTTCGCCCTTTGCATGTTCCACGGTATCCTCTTGGAGAGGAGGAAATTCGGTCCCCTGGGATTCAACATCCCCTACGAGTTCACGGATGGCGATTTGACAATTTGCATATCCCAATTGCACATGTTCCTGCTGGAGTACACTGAGATTCCCTTCAAGGTACGCTTAGAAAAAAATTCAACGAAAAATGTATTGAGAAACGCAAGGGACGAAGAAATGGAATTCTCATGGTTTCAGGTGTTAATATACACGGCGGGTCATATTAATTACGGGGGGCGAATTACCGACGACTGGGACCGTCGACTCGTCCTTACGATCCTTGAAGACTTCTACGCGCCCAAAGTCGTGTCCTCAGGATATCAATTCGATGCTCACGGTCACTATCAACAGGTAAAACTTGATAATAAAGGTACACCGGTTCACTTCCAAGACGTTAGATTTATGATTTCACTATTATTCGTTGTGTGGATTTTTTTTTATATTTTTAACAATGTAGATCTATATTTGTGTCCATAACAATGAAGGTGGTGCACATAAAAATTCTTGAAGGTAAATTAAAAATTGAATTTATCCCACATATCGCGCTGTATTTAATTAAGTTGCATTAAGGTGGAGTTTCTTACTAAATTAAAAATTATGTAGATCGTTAATTTTTAGATTTAGTGGATTTTCCGGGGTTTTAGTTGTCGGCGGATGCTTCGTTGGAGGAATACTTGTCTTATATCAAGACTTTTCCTTTGAACGACGACCCTGGGATGTTCGGCCTCCACGCCAACGCCGACATCAGCTGTGCCCAGGCGGAGACCTACTCTTGCCTGAACAACCTGCTGAACCTGCAGCCCAAAGAAGCCGGAGACGTGGCGGCAAGTTTCGAGGAAGTCACTCGACAACTTGCCGGCGACATCCTGGGGGTCGTCCCCGACCTCTTCGACCTGGCCAAGATCCGCGAGAAGTATACTTTGAAGAGGCAGGACCAACGGAGAAGACGAAGTTTCCCGAATTTTTAGGTACCCGGTGCTCTACGAGGAGTCCTTGAACACGGTGCTCCTGCAGGAAGCGAAGAGGTACAACGGACTCCTGGCCGAGGTGAAAACCTCCCTGAACGACTTGCTGAAGGCCCTGAAGGGGCTCGTCGTGATGTCGGAGAAGCTGGAGACCATGGCCTCCAGTCTGTTCATTGGGAAGGTCCCGAAACTCTGGCAGGATCGCGGATTCGCGTCCTTGAAACCCCTAGGTAGATGTTCCTCTAGTCCATAAAATTGGGGCAGCGAAATTTCTCTCGAAAGAAATTAAATTCCGAGCCTTGGGAAAATTTCCGGAAATTTATTGCACCCTGAAGAAGGGTCCTAAAGCGGATTATCTTTTGTGCAGGAGCTTGGGTGGTGGACCTGAAGGACCGCACCGATTTTATAGAGTCCTGGAGAGTCGGAGGCATTCCTCCTGCTTTCTGGATTTCTGGATTCTATTTTCCTCAGGCATTTCTGACGGGGACTTTGCAGAACTTCGCCAGGAAGCACGTGGTCTCCATCGATTCTATCGACTTCGGCTTCCAGGTGACATCCTACCTGTAGTGATCCTGTCAGAAATATTAATAAAATTCATCCCCTTTGCTACATAAGTCCAAATCCCTTTTTAAATAAAAATTCCCAGGAATTAATTCGGCTTTCCTAAATTTCAAGGTCCTGGAAGAGAATCCTACCCAGAGACCGGTCGACGGCTGTGTCGTCTATGGTGTCTTCCTTGAAGGATGCAGATGGGGTGGCAGTCACCTGGCCGAGTCCTTGCCGAAGGAGCTCTACACTGGTGAATTAAAAAAAGAATTACTCTAATAAAAGAAGTTCTACTTGAGAAAATTAATTTTTTTCCCAAGATATGCCGCCGATTCTCCTCCTGCCGGAAGTCCAGCATCGGCCTCCTTCCAAAGGGATTTATGAATGTCCTGTCTACAAGACCACTCAAAGGGCTGGGACTCTCAGCACGACGGGACACTCCACCAACTTCGTCCTCGCCATGGAAATTCCTAGCCAGAGGTCGCAGGCCCATTGGGTCAAACGAGGAGTGGCTCTAATATGCGCGCTCGATTATTGACCAGCTCAAGTTTTTTTTTTCCGCTTTTTTTCCCATGCTTTGTTTGCCACCCTTACGGCTTTATTGCCCGGGCGATCCGCGTGGGCGGGACATCCTACGAAATCGCCGTACCTGAAGACCACCAACGACCAGCGAGTGCATATAAAGGCCTAATGAGGGGACTATTAAACATTTATTTCGCAAAAATCCACTCTCAAGAGTGCATATAAAGGCCTAATGATGAGACTATTAAACATTGAATTCGAAAAGTCCACTCGATCAGTTGTTGAAGAGGTTGCCGAAGAGCGTTCGTCGAGACCTTTCAAGGGGTAGCTCGAAACCCTGGAGGCCTTGATCGTTCCGGCTAATTGGACGATCGATCCTTGGTATTCTGCGTGGCTTTTTAAGAGGGTCTTAAATAAAATGGGTCGGTGAAGTTTATAGACCGCGCCCTGAAGAGGGAGGACGCGACTTGAAGAGAAATAACGCGCCATGGAAGCAATTCGAAAAATGGTGGAAAATTCGAAAACGCTTCATTTTCGACCCTGAAGAACTCTCCTCGAAAATGTCTCTCCGTCCACCCGAGTTAGTCCAGTCACGTGGAATTATTCCTCGGCATTTGTTTTCCCGCGTGAAGACGGTAGCCATCTTTAGGAATTTTCTGAGAGTTACTTCTAGGCCAAGCCGACCCTGAAGAGCCCCACTTTATCAACTGCATCCCCCTTAAATGCCCTTTTCTAATTTTCCAGCCGATGGCAACGGCTCTTCTGACATTATTTATTAACGATAACGTTTAACTTCTACAATGGATTGAACTAAACTCGGGATGATAATGTTAAATTAAACCTAAACTCTAAATAAAATCATCGAGTCGACGAGCAGACTTCGTCGCCATTTCGATTTTTCTCTTTCTATTTAATTATTTATTTCTAATACATAATGATCAATTAAGACTTCGGAGGGCTCCACAATTCTCGAAGAGAAACTTCGGCTCGAGACTTCTCGCGGATCCTTTGACACTATTTTACTCTTTATCAAAGCGTTATCACTGTACACTCTGCTCTGATAAGGAGAGATCTCAGTTCTTCCTGCACTCCTCTCGATCCGCATTTTCCGGCCAATCGCAGATGAATTTGACAGTATTGTAAACAGTCCCATCTCGACATTGGAACTTTAGAGGTTTTCCATACACACAGCGGTAATACTGGAAAAAAATAATAAATTACATAATTGCAAAAATTAACCTTGGAATTGTGGTATAACTCTTTCCGAGACTTCATGTCATGCACTTATTAAAAATTGCAGAGTACAGAATATATATATATTTTTTTTTTAATTTTAGAGATTTTTCACGCACCAGGGTGCAGTCTTTGGAAGGCATGAAGTCCTCATCGGCGCATTTGATTTCATTTGATCCTTGATCGATCTCCACAGGTGTGGTCGTGGAAATGGGCTTCGATGGTTTTGTGGGCACTGGCCTGGATGGTCGATTTGGTTTGGTGGTCTCTTCGATACCTCTAGTAGACGTTAATGGGGTTTGTTTCCCCTCGTTGGGGTTGGGAGTCGTGCTGGGAGGCCGGGACCATTCAGGCTGAAATAAGAAATAGGTAAATTTAAAGTGTTCAAGGTCCTCTTCATGGTATAATTAATTATAATTAATTAAACATCTATTTCAGCATCCAGAAGAAAAATCATGCCTTACCCTGGGGGTCGTGCTGCCTCTTGGGGGTGGTACAACATAACTCTTCAGGTTCCTGTGCAAGATCTTGGTGAGTGCATTCGCATCTCCACAGATACCCTTGAAATCGTCCATATCAATGGCCCAGGACATGGCACCGGCATAGCCCTTCTGCTTGATGAAGTCCATCTTGATCTGCACACTCTTCTCGTCTTCGTACCCCACCCACTGAGTTCCTGAAGAGCCAGAAATTCGAATTAACCGGGCGCGGCACTTCGGCTTCATTGTATGCAAATGAAGGGGAAAAAAACCACACGACGAAGAAGATTAGGACCCACCTTTGTAGGTGAACGGCACCTTTCCCACGTCGTCCCACCTCACGGTCCACCCTGAATCGGGATCGTTCACCTCCGTGCAGATCTGCCAGGAAGGTCAATCCTTTTAATATAAATATTTTGTACGTATAGTCCGTCGAATTTGGATATTTTTTATTCACCTCGTAGTACGCCAGGAAGCCTTTCGCTTGTGTGTAATTTCCAGGATCTCCACCTCCAGCCTCCTTGTTGATGTAGGTACCCATCTCGTAGTTGGTGTTGCTCTGGCTCAGGGTGAAGGTGCGTCCATAAAATGGCACCCCGACCACCAGCTTGTTCGATGGGCAGCCCATGTCCACCCACAGCTGGAGTCCGTCATTCTGGAAGAAATTTATAAATACGTGTATTTATTGTTTATATTCAAATTAGGCTCTTCAGGGTATGGGACTCACGACGTTCAGCTTCTCGTAGGCCCATTGGTCGTGGGGCCTTTTGTAAAGAGGACTATGCACGTCTGCAAATCCTGCCCAGTTTCCTCGGAGGTCGTAAGACATCACGTGGATCGCGTCGACGTTTCTAAAAAGAATTTTTATAATTTTTTAAACGAGACCTCTGACGCTACCTTCGCATCACCTTATGGTAATTAATTGTTCTCGCGAATCTCTGGAATATTAAATATCAAGAAATATTTTACAGACGAGGCGTGCACTTACTCGCATAATTCCGGAACGTGATATCCTTCCTGAAGTCGGAACTTGGCAAGAGGAACCGCCATGGTGATCTCCCAGCCCTTTCCCTCCTTATCGAAGGCCCTCCTCAGCTCTTCGACAAAGTAGAAGAACTTGTCCTTATCGGAGAACTTCCCTTCCCTATCGGCAGCCCCAGGATACTCCCAGTCCAGGTCGAACCCGTCGAACTTGTACTTGTGCATGAAGGCTGAAACCGAAGTAGACCTTGAAGAGAGGTCTTCAGGGTGTCGGAAAAGGAATCCCTGCACTTACCCACGACACTCGCGATGAAGGTGTCTCTTCTAGATTTGATGGATACCAAATCGCTGTACTTTTTACCACCCTCTCCCCACCCACCGACTGCTACCTCGGTCCTCAGACCGGGAAACTTCTCCTTCAGGTTCGTGAAGTTCCTGAAGCCGTTCTTCTCCACGTCCAGCTCCGGGTCCAGCACCAGGACCTCCCAGGAACTGTTGTCTACCCCGATGAAGGAGTAGATCACGTGGGTACAGAGGTCCCCTGGGATGTCCTCTATCCCGTAGCTGCCGATCCCAGGGCGATAAATCGCCCAGTTGCTGAAGTAGCAGACGACCCTCGCAGGCTGCTCCGCTGTTTCCCCCCAGGAAAATTCAGGAAAAATTATGTAAGTCTCCAGGAAAATTCACCTGACCCTAGGAAATACTCTTTGGAGTCTTCCCTAATTTTTTAAGGATTTTTAGAGGCACGATTCGATGCACCCAATCCGTAGGAAAAATTCATAAACGATCGTTGCGACATTCGTACCCCCTTAACACTTGTGAAAATATTCGAAATAAAATGTAAAATTTGAAAATATGATCTCTTGCGGTAATCTTGAGGTAAAAAATCCATCTTTTCGCGGATTTGCCCGAGAATGTGCCCTCAATATGCAAATTTACCCGCCAGGCTGGGAGCGAGGCCGACCAGCAGCATCGCGAAGAGGCTCTTCATGGTCCACGGCATGCTTCTGAAAAGCCGATATTTATCGATTAATTACCGACCTGTGTCGATTAGTTAGCGCCTATTGACTATTTGAGGACTTTGCGGAATTCCGATCGGCGATCGACTGAGGCCCAGCATCTCTGGACCTCCCATCCGAGGATCTCTCGATCATCTCTCGTCTTCTCGTCCTCCTCTTCGACCGGTTTTAAACAGCGATCGTTGACACTACCGTTAAACGGCGACTTCGACCACGATGATCTTTCCTATCTTTCCTCTCTCAAAAGCGATAACGGACGTCTCGAATCGATTATGCCGATCGAATCTCCTCCGGTAATTCATCGGGAAGGATTTTGAAATTCAGCCCCGTTTTCCCGGGTTAATGAAACGACTCGTTGCCTAACCGAATAAGTATCGGACTTAACGGTGGATTTCCTCCTGAAGAACGAATGCCGCGATGAAAAAGAGAAAATGTCGAAGGGAATTGATATAGGATTTTGGTGGAGGCGCCGTCACTTTATTTCCCGAATTTTTTTTTCAGGATTTTTGCGACCTTTCTTTCGAGATTACGTTCGTCCGAGCTCGTTGCGCAATTTCATTCGGTAGATATTAAAGATGAACGTCGAAAGAAGAAACTAGATATTCCGGTTAAGAGATCGATGGGCATAGATCGAGACGATCGTCGTCGGGATTTCGCAATTTGGGGGGATTTTCTCTTTTCTCGAGCCGACCGCAAGGCGGACGGTTTCCGGATGCTGGCTCCAAATCTCCGATCTCTTCTCCACCCTTTTACCTGAATCGATTCCTCATTTTCGTTTTTTCTCGCTCGGTTTTTGCGAGTTCTTATCGCCTCTTGCAGCGCCCGTTTCTTGGCGGTTGCGGAAAGGCCGCGTGCGGAAGCCGATCGCGTGCCGGGCGGAATCTGCGGTTTCGAGGGGCCCGTAAAAATTGCGCAACCGGGGGAAATTACCCGCCGGCGATTTCCGCAAAACAGGGATCTTTATGTCGCTCCACAAGGGGGGAATTTTCTCGCGGAATAAATTTCCGCCGAGGAGTTACCACGCGGAAGGAAGAAGTGTAGGCGGAAATTTCCGTTTCCTGGATACCAGGATCTTTTTGGATACATTTTTCCCGGAGAATGTGGCGCGAGGGGAATTCTCTTTCCTAGGAAATTCGAGGCGGGGAGAAATAACGAGGCAATTTTAGAGACTCCTTTGGGATACAACGGGGAAATCGAATCCCGAGGGATTCCCGCTCCCTTCTTTTGGCTCCTCGAATTAGAATGCGAAGTGCATCCTTCGAAAGAAACAGCCTTCGCCTTCCGTTCCGCTCTTGCACTTTGAATACAAACACCGACATGCTTTCCGAGTTCCTTCTTTGATCGTTTTCCTTTCTTGCAGCCCGAAGAGCGCCGCGGAATTCTCGAGGGACTCCACGCGATTTCCGGAATTTCAATAAATTCCTTTCGGCCTCAAAAAAGTCACTCGGGACCTCAACAATTCAGCGTTGAAGAAAAATCTCACAATGAACCGATTTTTAGTAAATTTCTTGACAAATCCATCACGTCACTTTAGTCTAAATCGAAACCGTTCTAAATCTCGAAAAACCAAGATAAAAAGAAATCACCCTTTTAATTTTTTAAATGCATTTTGTCATCAATTTAGAACGTCACTGGTATGGACTTTGGTCTAGTAAAAATCCCTAGTTTTAAAAAATCCGGGATAAAAAAAACACATTTCACATCACGTCCCATTTTCAATGTATAAACACATTAATTCATAAATTTGGAATATCACTGATACCGTTTTAAATTAAAATCGCTCGAAGTCTGAAAAATCCAGGACACAAAAATCACCACATCAGGTATACTAAATCTCTTGTGTTAAAATCTTGGATCCATTTTTTAAATCTATGACGTCACTGGTACCACTTTGCCGGAAAGGTTGCGGAGAGAGGGAGATAAAAGAAACAAAAGGACGAAGAGCAAAATCAATGAAATGATGTCGAAGGGGGGGTCAAAGATAAATACGACTATAAGGTGAAGGTGTCAAAAATCGAAGGAAGGTCAAGATGGAGATGAAGAAGAGTAGACTTACCTTCTCCTCCGAAGGTGCTTGTAAAAATCAAGCGGCGATCTCGAGGGTGAGCGCATATATACGCAGGTGGGCCTCATTAGAATTCAGGTGCACGAATGTCTCGCGATTGGCTGGTTCGTCGACCTACCGACTCCCGCCAATCGCCCGCAAGCGTTCCGCAAGCGATCCGCAAGCGAGTCGGTCGATCGGCCGCGAATAGGCGGTGGCCTTTGATAAGGAAATAGGAAAGCGATGATAACGTAGGAAAAATCGGCGATACGATAGATGCAGTTTCTTGCGGAAAAACTACGTCACTGATTACGACTGATTGTAATTGATTAGGATTAATCGGAACCTTATCAATAAAAACCGTTGCTTTTCTAACGTGAAAAATTGTACTTCATAATAAATGTACCCTGACGATCATGATCATAGGATAACCGAGGAGGTGGCACGGAATTCTCCCGGGCAAAAATTTTAGGAGTCGACATTTCCCATTTGTAACAGGATCATAGGACAATCAAGGAGGTGGCATGGTGTTTCTCCCGAGCAAGAATTTTAGGGGTTGAAATTTTCGATTTCTAACAGGAACACAGGATAACCGAGGAGGTGGCACGAAATTCTCCCGGGCAAAAATTTTAGGGGTTGAAATTTCCGATTTCTAACAGGAACACAGGATAACCGAGGAGGTGGCACGGAATTCTCCCGGACAAAAATTTTAGGGGTTGAAATTTCCGATTTCTAACAGGAACATAGGATAACCGAGGAGGTGGCACCGAGTTTCGTACCTTAGATCTACGCTTGATTTTCAAGGATCAGGAATAGGCGATTAAAGGGTTTGCTAGACACGCATGTCTAATTAAACGTACTCAGTGTTATTGTTTAATAAGTTGCTTTATTACATTAATTATTTTACAGTTTATTATACATCAAGTACTGCAAGGAATCTTTTTTTGAGAAATATGTATAAATTGGATTAATATATGGGGAGACAAACAAACGTTATCAGAGTATCATGGAAAAATGAAGGCCGAGTTTAATCGAGGATGCAGCAGTGACGAAAATCGATTGATCAAGCCTTGCCAAAATAATATCAACACGCTATCATTTCGGCAGCCACTTGAATAAACAATTAATTTTCTCGCAATTCCAGTTGAAGAGATCGATGGAGCAGGAGAGATCGATCTGCTTCTCGACTCGAGTCCAGATGACGAGGAGACCTCTCTCTCGGCGTTTCACCGAAAACTGCAGAATCTTTCGAAATCGAGATCGATTAGTCACATTTTATAGTCAATTCCGAATTTTCCGATGCATATCAAACGAGGGCCCCCGAAGAAGGCCACGAGGAGCGGTCTCGCCGGCTTCGAGCTCGGTTTCCCCTTCAACGGTGCATGATGTGGAAAAATGGCCTCAACAAAAGTTCTTCCCCGTCTCTTGGGGAACAACTTTTATCCTAAGGACTTTTCTCCAGGACGCCCGGATTCGGCGGAAAGGCCGGATCCGCCTTGCCCGGCGCGGCTTCTTCGGAAGGCCCCGATTTTTCCTGTTTTCTTCCTCCTTCTTGTTCCTCTTTTTCTTCAGAGGTCCTGAAAGGTGTAGAAATGTCACGGCGAGTCGGGGCACTATGAGAATGCCGTTCGCTTATTTTCTGGCCAGTCGAGAGAGTGACTTAAGCAGGAATGCAGGACCTGCCCAGCCCGAGTGCATTGTGAGGCTGCACTCGAGTCCTGGCGAGTCCTTAGACCTCGTCCTCGGATTCAAATCCCACCTCGGGGATCACTTGTCATTCCTCGGATGTACAACGTACGCCTTTGTTCTCTAGGAACGATGACTCGGGTCGGAGGTGCCTCTTCAAGGTCTCTAACGTTCCCTGAAATGTTTATCGGAGGCTCCTCCTGCGAGAGGCGACTTCGCGATATTTTCTCTCCTCCTCTATCGCTCCTCGGGAATTATTTCCAGGCTCGTAAGAAAGATTTAGGAGAGTATTATGGAGAACGCGAGGAGTCGTTCCCGTTATCGGCTCCTTTTATCACTGGCAGGGCAGGCTGGAAACGCGTTGGTCATCGACCTTATGAAATCCAGAGGCCAGGGACCTCATCTTCCAATAAATCGATCGTTAGGCTCCCCTGATTCCAGTCGTCGTCTTTCTCGATGCCTTTTTCTCCTACCCATGTTCAATTAGCTCTTCGGCTTCTCCCGATTTCCCAACCTTCGGATTCCTGGCCCCTGAAGGAACCACTTCCCGAAAGAAATGTGATACCTAAGATGGGTTTAAAAAATCAAATAAAAGTCTTCAGGGTACTGGTTTTTGGATCCCCTCTCCTTCAAGAAAATTCCCATCTTCCGAGTCCATTCGGTAAATAAATCGGATACAATTTCAGGAAAATAGATAAATAAATTCAAGTCTTCGCAAAAGTTCATTGGCCTCTTCTCATGGATCTTCAGAGGTCCACTTCCGAGTTGCAACATCTTATGCATTTTACATTGAAAAAAGGATTAATTCAGGGTCCTCGTTCATTGGCCTCATCTTCCCCGTGCGGTTCTGCAGCCTTAAAAAATCTACATGGAGGGGGAATCCCCCTCGAGGACTGTCCGCTGAGGAAAAAAAAAAACAGAGAATAACCACATCGAGATATAAAAACCAGTTCGGGTTTATTTGTCTCGTTGAAACAGTAGTAACATTAAATTACACGTCCACGCCGGCCGTAATTCTGCGCATTCTCTCGGCCGTAAACGCGACCCCTCATTACGCTTACTCATGTAAAACCGCCTTAAACTCTAATGTCCTATCCGACAGAAGGTGCCTGCTATCGTCCTCGCCTAGCTAAAAAATATGTCAATATAGAACTATGCAATAATCAACATATGTATAATGTCGAAACAATAAAATTGAGCGCCTAAGACCGGACCGTGCCGCGAAACGATTGTTATCCACCAGATGAAGAGGAAACAATTGGCCAAAATTCCCCATTCTTCTTTAAGGCGACATGAAAGTGCCGCCAAAAATCTCCCTTATGAAACTTTCCTCCCGAACTGGGTGTACCGAATCGCCTCAAAATTTACAATGTAAATACAAAAGCCTTAATGAAAGTCCCGACACCCATGAGAATTTAATTTTTAAAAAATGTCTTAACATTTCTGTATAGAAAATCAAAGTTTCATGGGCGTCGGGACCTTCCCTAAAGCCTCCACATTCGCGTTGCAAAGTTTGAAACAATTCGGTGGACCCAGTATGGAAAAAAGTTTGGAAGAAAGATTGAACGTCACTTTGACATCCCCTTAAAGTTCCCGCAGTCCGAATCCCATTGTGAAATCCTCGAAAAAGTCGTCTTAAAGCTCGAAATCCGTCGATTTTCGAATCTCCCAAAGGGTGACATCTCGAAAAAATCCCAGGATCAATATACCTGGCACTACTAGTATTTATAATTATTTATATATTTATATACTATTTATATATGTATAGGTGAGAGTCTACGAGAAGCGCCGACGTAGAAACGAGGCTCGGAAATCCACAAACGGGAGTGTCGACAATTTGACAGGATGAAATTAGCAATGAGAAGGAGAATCGGGTATTGCATAATGTGGGCACAACTGTTAAACTGGAAATTAATTATTTTCGGGAAGGTTGAGGGGGGGCAATTTAATCCGCAGGCGCGAATTCAGCACATGCTCGCGTTTACGTAATTCATACGTAATTAGCGCACTCGGTATGTATACGGTAATCGCTCGTATATAATTAATATACTCGGGTACGGAGCCTGAAACAGCGTCTAATCAGATATTGATACCACGTAGGTGCATACCGTGTACATACATATATACTTCCGCGTCGCTATGTACATACATCGCAATGTCGCACGTACGGCCTCGGCGTACTTCATGTATTCGCGTGTATTTAAACCCGGATAGATAATTTCTACATACTTAGGCGCAATTCTCTAAATTTACCATGCAGTCGGGTCTTATTCGGTAATTTGTTATTCCCTAGACGGGGGGCCTCCTCGTGGCGGGGCATTATTGTCCAATATAATTAATTCTCACACGCTGTACGGAAATAATTACCGCGGGGATAATTTTGCGAATCGTCGAGGGGGTTCTCAAGAAGTGGAAAAAAATATATATGTCGATGGTGCGCTCTTATAAAGTCTTAATATATTTTTTTTGTTTGACGGTGTAGGTAGAGGATGATAAATTTAAAGGGACGTGGTTATTGCCACATAAATATTCGGCGCGCCACGTGCGTACGATTCGAGCCCGTCTGGGAAATAACTGAAATATTTGTGATCACACCTAGAGGTGTCTCTCTCATGCGTCTTCAGGCACTCCGGCATTCTCTCTCTCCCTCTTTCTCTTGGTACCCGCAAACCTACAAACGGTACCGACGCCATTCATTATCCTTTCATATACGCTGCTAAGGGCTTGTCGTTCCTCCTTTAAAGCTGTACCGAAGTCATTGACGTGTCAAGGCCAATAGACAATACAAAGGGGGAAATTAAAGCGAAAGAGCACGAGAAAGGCCTCGACGCTGTTTTCATATATTTTTTTTTCATTTTTCTACCATTTTTAATATGATCTTTTTTTAACAAGGTTTAATGACAAGACGCGTCGAAAGGGGAAATTAAGGCGAAAGTGCGCCCTTATTTTTCTTCCTATCACTTTTAACAAGATATTCTAACAAGGTTCTTCTTCGATAAGATGTGTCAAGGACGAGGAGAAAACGGGAAATTAAGGCGAAAGCGCGAGAAAGAGGTCTCGCGAAGGGCGGCGCCATTTTGTTTTTCGGCATTTCTTAAGAGAAATCACTCGGAAGAGTCGTAAGCTTTATCACTAATCAGTTAATTGCTTAAGGGCACCACGCTGAGACCTATTACTTCGTTTCTTTTATCTCGTTTTTAATATAAAACTACCCAAGGACTTGCATAACGACTTCGATGAATTTCGGACGAGAGACTGGAAGTCCTCGTATTGATCCTCGACGGTAAAAATCGTTAAGCTTAATTTATTTAACATAATTGACGACGGTTCCCGAGCCCGCTACGGGTTTGGCACTAACGCGGTCACTTAATTAATTTGATTGTTTAGTCAATGTAGGGTGGCGTTACGTTACTTTTTCTTTTTATACATATAAAAAATAAGGAAATCGACGCCCCGCGATATCGAATCGGAAGGCTAGGACTCCGAGACCCTGCCAAGAGTAGGCTAATTTTTAATAATTAATCCTCGCACTTCCTAGAAGTCTTATCAACTCAACGAATACCACAATCAATCTCTACACAATCCAGGAAATAAACAATCCCTCAAACGACGTGCCGGATTTTAATCAGAATTTCTTACACTTCCAGGAATAAAATTCCGCAGTGATAAAATTTAGAGAGAGAGGAGAAAAAAATGGAAAAGATGATAAGAGAAGTACGAGGCTCGTTCGTTAACGTGATAACCAACAGTCCTGGGATGCCTATGCCTAAGTTAATCTTAATTATTTAATTAAATCGTTAGCTTAACTTATAGGCTAGACCCTATTGACTGTACACTTTCGGTCGCGGTGTGGTCACAAATATTAATTGCTAATTATTAAATGCGGGGACAGAGACCTCCTCGTGTTCATCCTGAGCTTTTCGTTACCGTGGAGAACTCTGTGAAATTTACGAGTTACCATTATCTCCATTTCCAAGGACTCTTCCTCTTCTCCCATCAGTCCGCGTGGCGTTAGACTAATTGTGCATTATCAGAAATAATTCCAAGGTTCTGGCAGTAGGTTTAGTCTTCGGTATTTCCGTCGTTCCTTCTAGGAATTATTTCTCGGTTTACGAGTAATAATTCTCTCTTTGTTGGTACAAAGGCAGTGGTGTAACCGGGGACAGGTCGTCCTCGTCGAAGCTCGGCTCCTGGTTCAAGGGCAGCGTGGCCAGGGCTTGAACTGCAAATAAAGCGCCTGTTTATTAATTTTACATCGATTACAGGTAAAGGTCTCCGATTGCAGATGGGTGGGTGTACGTGAGAAACAAAATGAACGTAGGAAACAAACCTGAAATACGGTAATGTGATGTGCGTGTCCTACATGGGAAGATGGAGGAAGCATGTCAGTCAGTGCGCCTGGTTACCTACACACAGCACAAACGGTCCAAACAACACTCTACACTTGGCAGAACACTAATTAGTTAACTCTTGACACGAGGTGCGAGGTACGATTCCCGGTTTTTCGCCAAGGTGTGATCCGACGAGGACAAATTCCCCGGCAAGACGCTGAAGAAGGCCCTGAAGTGTCGGGTCGAGGAATAAGAATTTTAATTCCCGCCCTTCTTAACGCAACGTAATCAGTTATTCCTCAACCCGATACATTGACAATGCGACTGATACACAGAATTCCTTGCAAAGGGTCTTTTCCATAGACCATGAAGAAAGAAGTGAACCGAGGGAAATAATTCCCCTCGGCGAGGTATCCCAGGAGAACCCGGGAAACCTGGCCCAGAGGAACATGATCGCAAATGTAAAGAAGTATGAGAACTCAATCGATATAAAAAATGGCCATGCTCGTCACACCACTATAGGCAAACAAAACCGGACCATGCACAAATCATAAGCTCTCCGAGAGCTAAAGGAAAATCTCCCTAGGGATAGACATCGACGTACCGGCTACCATTTTACTCTTCTCCATCACCTGCTTAGCCAGGATCTGATTCAGCTGGAGGATGTGTTCCCTCTGTCGCTTCTCCTCGGCCACCTTCTTCTTCAGGGTGTCCGACTTCTCCATCTCGTCGTCTGGGGATTTTATTAAAAAGTGTGATATATAAAATCTGGTAATTTACATAGAGAATAAAATTACCGAGCAAGAGATAGTCCTCACCGCCTCCTTCTGGAGCAGTCACGGCAGTCTCCGAGAGCATCTTCCTAATGGACTCCGCCTTCTTCAGCCTGTGCTCTTGCTCTTCCGCACTCAACTCGGGAGTCTGCGAAGAAACTCGGTAAAGTAAGAAGAACTTGGTAGAATCGAATTAACCAACAATAGAGGTTTAAATCACCTGTTCAGGGATGTACCGCTCCGGAATCAGGATCTTATTCGGCGTGCCCAGGAGCTGATCAATGGTGCTCTCGTTATACTTCAGTTCCTTGTGACTGAGAGTAGACCTGACGACATCAGGAGCGTTGATCCTGGGCCTCAAGGCCCTTTCCATGTCCAGGTCGTCCCTAGCCCTGCCCATGCCCTGAAAACCGCAACGAAACCGTGAACAAAAGTCCTCTTCAGAGTATACATCAGGGTGTACATCAAAGACTCGGCGACGTCACCGAGGACTCGGGACAGGACCCTGAACTCAAACGGACCAAGCTAACACACCAAGTTAAAAAAAGGAGGGACGGAGAACCAAAGAAAACAGGTACCATCTTGGAAAACGTGTCTTCAAGGTCGAAGACAGGTTTGCTGCTGGAGACGGTGTAGTGCCTCCTCTTCTCCTTGGGCACTTGTCGCCTCCTGGGGCCCTCGGACCTCTTCTCGGTCATTTCCTTGATGATCTGCCTGGCAGCCTCGCTCTTGAAGACGGGAGATAATTGTGGACTCTCGGAGAGGCTGTTGATGCTGGCCGCGGACCCGAAGAACCGGTCTCGAGGTGGAACCGGGGAAACCGCTGTGGAATTCCCCGGCACCTGGTTCCCTTCCTTCGCGAGCGAGGGAATGGACCCGTAAGGTCCCACCTGGAGGTAGTTCGAGATCGCCCTTGCACCCTGGGCCTGATAATTCTGGTGGCTGGGGCTGTAGGCTGATGGGCTCGTCGAGTAGTTCGGCGAGCTGTTCGCCATCGAGGTCGAGGTCGGACTCTCCGTGTACGGCGAGAGGGTACTGTCCGAGCTGGCGTCCTGATGCTCAAACTGCTGGTCCCCGACAAATGGAAAGAGAAATAAAGCAAAACCTTGGGGATATGGGGCCTGGGGGAAGGAAACGAGTCCTGGGGACGCGGGGGTCTCGACCCTGACGAGGTTGCCGAAGAGTGAGGAAAATCTACTTTCTAGGTGTCTAACATTCTCCTTTAACCCTTGACACGCCTGGTAGGACGTAATCGTCCTCGATTTCCGCCCTAGAGCGGAGATTCCCTTATCCCTACAAAATGACTTTTCCCCCAGTCTGCACCTACCCTGACTCTATGTCGACGGGCCATCATGTTCCTCAGGGCGTTCATGCTGTCGCTCCGCGGCGGAGGGGGCACCGGGCCCTGAAGAAGACCCTGGTGGATCCCAGGCTGGGGTCGCTGACCACCGAAACCTCGGGGAAGCGACATGCTCCGTTGGAACTGGACCTCGTCCAACTCTGAGAGTTGCACCGTGCTCTGGGCGTGCGTCATCGGGGACTCCTCCACCACTCGGCCGAGTTGTGCCTTCTGGGAAGAGAGAATGAAAGTCGACACCGCGGATCAAGAATCCAGGTAGGGGGTGGACCGAAGTCGAGTTTACCTCCAGCTGCTGGGAGGACTCCTCTTCGGCCAGTCTCTTGGCTCCTCCTGGGACCGGCAGTCCGTTCGTCAATGGTATACCCAGGTTCCCTGTACGATCTCCTCGGTCCCTCTGACGTCGCTCCGACTCGCGTTTCACGATGCGCACCGTCTTGATCTCCTGTTTCTCCCGGCCGTGCAGCAGACCTTGACAAGAAACGCAGAGAGAATTAACCCTTTCCTCGTGCCCGCCACGTGTACTCAGCCATGGATAACGGCGACGTGCGAATAATGTTTAATTGTAGGGATCTTTACGGTTAAAGAAAAAAAAAATAGCATGAAATTAATCACCGGATGAAAAGTGTGAATTAATAATTATTCCCGCATCAATTATAGTCGGCATTAGGGTCGAAAGGGTTAAACGTGGCAGATAGCTCCCCTAAAAAATTTCCCTCAACGGATAATCTCCTCTACCTGGGAATTTGTTCTCTTCGGCATGTCCATAGACTCCTCCGTTCACCAGAAGAGCCTCCTCGCTGGGAGGTGGGGGTGGAGGAGGGACATACTCCGGAGGGGGGATTGGTCCATTGCTCAATCCAACTTCCCCATGTTTCGGCACGTCTAAAAGAATTGCCAATAATTATTTAAAAAAAAAAAAAATCCATTTTTACCCGAACTTCAGGATGGACCCTGTGGCTCGTCTTCGACTCCTCACCTTGTCTTCTTGATTCCGTGTTGACGTAAAGAGGGGCGACATTGGCCTGCACCGGACTTCCTTTTCCCTGCATCCGGTCCCTCAGCTGCTGCTGCTTGAGCTGGTGCTGCTGGATCTGCTCCCGAAGCTGAGGAGACAGGGCTGAGATGTGATTCTGAGATGGAAGGGTCTGACCGAAGGACTGGGAGTCCTGGATCGGAGGAGAGTATCTGGGGAAGTTCTCCTTGTAGGGCGCCGGAGGGTCCTTGAACCTCGGGGAGGCTTGATGAGAGTTTTGCCCACTTCTGGGAGATGTCGAGAGAGCAGGACTCGAGGGTGAATCCAGACCGTGGTCCAGGGTGGTCCCAGAATCCAGGTCCGTCTCCAGCCAGGAGCTGTGAGTCCTTTTCTTTGACTGGTGAACCTGGGGAGCTGCGAAAATCATACAATTTCCCTCTAAAATGTTTATTTTAAGAATCATCAATTTATCATTTTTTTTTAAATCAATTCTCTCCCTAAGAAGTCTTACCTGCAGCAGACTGAGGTCTGATCTGCTGGACCAGGCTGTGAGACTTCTCGGTGAGCTGTCGGACCTGGACACTCAGCTCCTGTCTCTGTCTTTGCAGATCTCCGACCAGCTGCTGGACCCTCCTCAGCTCCGCCTCAAGGGCCGCGGTGGTTCCCGAGGGATCTCTCGCCATGTTCCCGGCGTACCTTCGGGACGCCTGCAGCTTCTGCCTCAGGACGACCAGCTCTTGCTCCAGCCTCGCGTTCTCGGCCACGGTTTCCTCGAGTTTCTGCAACACAGGACCTCCAGGAATGGCCCTTGGAATGGGGAGCAAAACGGAGACGCGAAACACTCCCTGCCGGGAACTCTACTTTCGAGGAATGCAGGAATTCATTCCTGAGGGATACAGCCTCCCGGATTCCGAGACTCCGAACTTTCGCCCCGGTATTTCCGCCCCGGAATTATGCGACTGCGAGACCGGGCCGCTTGTTTTTTTTTTATATACTTAGAACAAAAAAAAAATTACGGAAACTCGAGCGACAGGAGGCGAAACTTCTGCAGCGGGTAATGCTTCTTCAACTCGTAATTGGGGTTTAATGGCGAAGAGGAGACATTTTTGATATCACGCGCCCTTCGCGTCAATCGAATTTCGATGAAGTTTCTCACGTGAAAATAATTCATAAAAATAGGGAGAGAGGTTTCAATCACCTTCGAGTTGTGGGCCAAGAGAAGCCTCACCCTGCTGAGCTCTCTTTCCAGCAGGAGTTGCTGCTTCCTGTATCTCTCAGTCTCCACGGGATTACTTCTACTGCTCTGCATCTTGTGCCTGAGACCTCCCAGGGCCTTCTCTAGGATCTCCTAAAAAATTCAGGATTATCAAATAAATATTTCCTACGAGTCTTCGGGACTCCTCTTCGGGGTCGGTCGCGTACCTTGTCCTGTTGGAGACTGTGAAGTGTACCGGATTCCTCTTGTAAAAGTCGGTCCAGTTTGTAGAGCTGCTGCACCTTCGCCTGCAATCACGTATGGGTTAGAACCTTGGATCTTCTAGTTGGTGTCGCCTTTCAGCCGGATTCCGGTTGATGACAACAGTCAACCTCGTCGGGATATAAATATATTTGTAGAGGGGCTCGGGAGAGGAGGCTTAATTAAGTGCGACCTGACCCGGTCCCCTGGGGAGCGATTTTTATCCCGGATTAAAGACACTTCCGGGGTCCCTATCTGGAGATCTCATCGAATTCTTCTCGCCGTGAGATAATTAATTCCAGGGGATCCGTTAGTCGGAATTAAGTCGTCTTCAAGATTCTTTTTTTTTTTTACATTAATCTACGTTGATTTTTTCTTTAATTAATAACACTACAACTACCGGCGGATTTTTTTTTTGTACCCGATGGGCCATTTGAAACCAGGCGTTTTGACTAGTTTCGCAGTTCTAGCGGTAAGAAATCGATTTTTCGATATTTCGCTCAGAGAAATTGATTCTCCTGGGATCGGAATTAAAAGTGACCCTTCACCTGGAATTTCTTAAAATTCGCAATTATTCAATTTGATCGAGAAATTAATTTTCCACGTTTCTCTTAGAAAGGGTCACTTCGTCAGGGATTGTTCCGAAGGTTCCTGAGATTGAAAACGGTCCTTCACCTGAAGTTGTCCGTGGTCAGGGCTCAGCCTATCCCAATCTCTGCGTTCCTCTGCCAACAGCCTCTGTTCCTGGACCCTCTGGTTGAACTCCAATCTATCCCGGTGTTCCTTGGCAGGATCTAGACCATGAAGAAGATCCTGTCGAGACCCACCGACGGTCCCATTGGGGTGGTTCCCATGGTTATAAAGAGAGCCGAGCTTCACCATGTTATCGACGAGGTTCACCAGGGGCTTCCCCTTCTCGTACTGCAAATGGGATATAATCCCCGAATAAAAGTGAAGGAAAAAATAAATAGGAAGGAAGGACGAGAGGAAAGAGATAAAGCGCTAACGCGATACAAATATAAAAGCGGGGCCCTTTATCCGGGATAAAAAGCCGAGCCGGGGGGGGGGGGGAAATCAGATTCGCTGACGCGGCCTCAATGGGAAAATTCAGCCCCGAGGAGGAACGGCCATAAACAACATTTGCATAAAGGCAGACAAATTGAACGTCGTCACGAGCCCCGGGAGTCCGGACCCTCGACGAGCCGACAACCCCCAGGGATGAAAACTTTTAATTCACTAACTTACGATCCCGACTGCACCCCCCTCCTTTATTCCCATCGGTAGTCTGGATTCGATTCCGAAGAAAAACACCCCTGGATATATCCCGAGATATTAATTATTACTTCGGGCGCACGGAGTACGGTCCCGTCAAACGTTACCGCCGAGCTCGAGATTAAACCGAAAATCGCTCTCCGGCTGGGAAACGAATCCCCGGGACCCGGGAATTTTTTATAATCTCCCTGAATGCCCCCGATAACAGGAAAAAAATAGTGGAAAATTGTACCCCAAGAGACGGCCTTTACAGGAATTTTTCCATGGGGGACTGCGGCCAGATCGCCGCCCCGGATTTGGAGCCCGCGAGCTGGTTGCGTTATTAATTATTAATCCGAGTTTCGGGGACTCCTGGGGTGGGGTGGAATTTTCCTATGATTGTTGGAGAGCCAAGGGAGGTATGGAAATTTTTGGGGATTTTTTCTATGGTTTGGTTATTTGCATGGAATTTTTCTTATGGGACGGCTGAGAGCTGGGCGCGGCAAATTGACCGGAAAGGGGATTAATCAGTCTCGGGCGTCGATACGGAGCTCTTCTTTATCGGCCAGGAGTCCCGCGGCTGGATCAAAGGGACGCTTCAAAGCCAATTACCTGTTTCTCGAGATCCATCAGGTGCTTCTGCAGCTCCTCGAGTTTCTGCCAGTTCTCCAGCCTCCGAGGAGTGTCGAGCTCCGCCAGTCTGGCCTGAAGAGAGATCGGGAAACGCAGCCTCGTTAAAACTCGACTCGATGGAAATGGGATTTTTCTTTCCCACCAGAACCGACCGGCGAGCCATTCACCGGCGACATCGGAACAGGTTGCTCCGATCTCACCTGTGCAGGCAGGGAGGCAGGTACGCCGAGATTTAACCTTTAGAAAATTTCCTGCACCTCGTTAAACGATTTTAAGTCTCGAATAATGAAGGTTTAATTGAACTCGATAACGAGAATTGAAGAAATTTCGGTCTCGTTGCAGCGTACCTGCGAATTCTTTACACCTCACCAGGAATAACTAATCGGTACCATGCACCACGAATATCCACGTTATCACGTAATCACCAGCACAGAGGAATCTTCGGGACGAAGTGCGATCTCTTCGAGGTCCGACCACTCGGAGCGCAACTCGCGGCGTAGAAAGCCGATCTGCGTCGAGTGGTCCAGAAGAGGTTTATATTTCTCCGCTTCAGCAGCGCGGATTTCTTTCCGGACGAGTAGAAGGGAGAGGGGAATGCTCGAGACCCTGAAGAGATGCGCACTTCTCCCGGGGATTTTATTCTAGAATTTAGACATTCCCAGAAGCGATTTGCCGGACTAATCGCGGAGACGAGGGGAGAAGGATCGGATGCTGAAGAGGAGATGAGAAGCTGAAGAGCGAAAGAAAGAGGCGTTTCCGAGCAAGGGATGCCGTTGCTTCTACCACCGCCACCATCTAGGGGACCCCGAAGTCACCATGAAGACCCCGTGAAAACACCACGAAGACACCCTGGAAGAAAATGGAAAATTCCTGGACCTGCGCTTCTATCTCCATGTGGCAAGTCTCCATCGCCTTGCAGAGTGTCGCACTCTGTCGCCGAAGCTGGATCAGCAAGAGGACCAGCTCTTCATGGGTCCTGCCTAAAAGTTCACCAGCCGATACTTGAACCAGTCCACCTGCACTTCCTGGTCGCCGCTGCTGCTGGGACATGCAAAGAGTTCGACGGTCACTTAAAATTCCTCAGCGAGTTCCTGAAGAGCTCCCGAAACTAAATATACCCTCGGCGAAAGATCAACTTTCTAGGCGGAATTAATTACTCGTAGGAGATCTTACGTCTTCCTTGCCGAGGATGTCTCTTGGTCCCAGAGAAATTCATCCCGTGGGAAGCGAGACAAATGATCAGGATTTCGTTTTTTTATTCCATTGAGCGGAATTCATTTCCCGGTGTTTTGAACAATAATAACGGAAGCTGCATAATTTTGCCGAATAATGTATATACACGCGTAATTATCCGAAAGAATTGTTCGCACTTGAGATGAAATTCTTCGTAGAAAGTGATTCTTTCGCTCAGGGTGGAGTTCTAAAAAATTAGCTGGGTGAAGAAAAAAAATTGTGCAACAATTTTATAGGTCCTGAAGAGCGTCCTGCAGAGTGGATACTTCCTACGGAGTCGGGCAGAGAATATTTTCCAGTTTGTTTTATATCGGCTCCCTAGGGACCTCCTGACCCAGGAAACTCATGCCAAGGAAGGATCCTCTTCAGGAACGAATCACTCCAATTTTCCCTGGACCCGAGTCAGGACTTTTACGTTGATTTTGATTTAGACATGCCTGGAGTCAAGGGTCTCGTTTTCGAGGAATTGATCCGTTCCAGGAGTCTTCCCTAGGGACTCGGGAGAGATCCAGGAACCCTGAAGACCCCCCACCGGCCAAGGAGAAACGGAGCTACAAGTGGCTTCGGAACGAAGCCTCTCCCGGTTCCCGGAGGGCCTCCCTCGGGACTCCTCGACTCGTAATAAAATCCGGGATAGCCGTTCCCTTATTTCAGAAGCCCTACGTCTCCATGGCAACCCCCAAAACGCGGGATAATTCCCCACTAATTCGCGTAATTGCTCGGAGTTAATGCCGACCACTGTACGCGGTAAGAAGAGAAGGCCAAGTCGCGGCTCGACTTTCGTTCCGCGTACCACCGCATGCGGAACGCGCGCTGAACCCCCGCGCGTGACGCCCGCGTTCCCGAGGGATTTCGTCTCGATCCGAGGTCGGAAAAATACTTCTTGGATCGCTTTTCCTATGCCTAACCGCGAAAGATATCCAAGTAACCGCGAAGAACTCTGAAGAGTACCCTGAAGAGTTTAGAAAAAAAAAAAAATTGGGGGAAAAGCGGAAAATCGCAAAAACGTTAAACAGTGAGACGGCTCGTCTCGATTCGGGAATCGTCGGTCTAATCCTCGGCGGCGAATGAATTCTTAAATGAATTCCTAAATGAATTCCTGAGCGGAGCCCAACACGTACCGGGTCAGCTTTTCCCCTTCGCCGGGAAAAGCGAGAAAATAGCCGCGCGCGAGCTCTTCCGGGTCCGCGAGGGCTGAATTATTCAGCGGTCTGCAGTTCTCTCCGTCTGGCCGTTCGTCCTCCTCTTCGGCGTAGTCTTAAAAAAATCCGCGGTGCACCGAGTTGCAGTTGGATGCTGCGATGTCTCACGGTACGCCGCGAGATGCACCGAGCTGCAGTGGCGCGTTGCCCTGAGAGATGCACTCGGATGCGGCTCGGCTGTGCTGAGAAGCCCCAAACTGGTGGAAGATCTGACTGGATGCAGGAGAATGCAGCGTTGTGCTCCGGGGTGCCCTCGAATGCAGCTCAAATGTGCTGCAGGTTGCACATATGCACCGAACCGTTGCACCGTCTAACGAGATGCAGTGTTTTTATCCTGCGTTACGTTTCAGCACACCGCGAAGTGCACTCGAATGCAGCTCGGACGTGGTCCGAAATACTGAGAAGTGCGGGGAGATGACCCAAACTGTCGCGCGTCCGGCGGGATGCAGCGGGATGCAGCGGGATGCAGCGAGATGCAGCGGGATGCAGCTTGCCGGAGACTGGCGTCCCGGCGGTGCACCGACTCTCCTCCCGAGGTTCCCGGCATGCACCGGCCTTCGGCCTCTCGTTGACCATTGTTTTGTGTGTTTTGTCGGGATCGGTTTTGTCTCTACCTCCTCCTTCTCGAGTGGACCTCCCACCTTCGGGCCCGGGGCCCGAGGTTGGCCCAGGGCCGGGCCGCAGGAATTTCAGGGCATCCCGGGTGCATCGGATGTCAACTCGAACTTGCTCCATTATCCAATATGCATAAAATGCCTCTTATCAAGTGATATACTCTTAATTTTTCAGGCGCAATTCTGGCTCTTGTTTCCTTATTATTTTTTTTTTTGTTAATGCAGTGATTGTATTTTAGATTTCAGGTTAGCAATTGTTTATGGAACTGTTGATAAATCGGCAGGAGGTGCGATAAGGAGTAAGGCCTGGATTCGCTATCCTCGTTTCATTTTTCATTTTCGCGTTAAATGCGGTTCCTTGATTTAAGGTTAGAAATAAGGAGCAGAGGGCGATCGGGAACAGGGTCCCTCGGGAATCGAGGCGTCCCTGGTTTCGGTCCCGGCGAAACCAGTCCCAGGGTCGGGCCCCTCGGTCCACAGGATCAGGATCCTTCCTCGCCAATTGGCGAAGGAACTTCCACTCTAATCCCCGTACACGGTAACCTCGCGTTTTCGCCCACCGCGAAGGATTTGCCAGGCTCCCTCGGGATAAAAGCCCCCGGGATTTATCCGGCGAGTCCTCCGGCTTCTCGACCACCTAAGGATTTCCAATCTGCCGGCGCGGCCGACTGTGAACTTCCCTCCTCTTTATCTCTCCCGGCTTTAAATTCCCCCGGATAATAATCCAGACGAACCCGATATTCCTGGAGCTTTCGCTTACATCGGCGAGAACCGTCTTGGCCCGATCCCGAGCGAAAAGGCAGTCCCTCGGGCTTCTTCCAGGCGACTCCCCCGGGAACCGGTAGCTTTCCCTCCCGGTTTATTCATCCCAGGATATCCTGAAAATCGCCCGAGTGTTTCGCCTCGAGTCCCTCCCTGCTTTCCCCTGGGAGTCCCGAACATCCCTCGGGAACTGCGAACCCTCGGGATCGATGCACTCCTTTCGCCTGGTTTATTCATCCCAGATATCCTAAAAATCGAGCAAGAGTCGTACATGTCGTTTCCATTGGACTTTTCTATGAGACTCTCGAGTTCCTTCCAGGTGAGTCCCTCGGGATCCGCAAAGTCTCCCGGTTTATGCATCCCGAGACCTGAAAAATCGCAGGACCTCGGAAAAATCTCCCCCCAGGTGTTTCGCGAACTTCCTCGAGCTTCTTCCAGGTGACAGGTGAGCCCCTCCGGATCTTCCAGGCTTCCTCCAAGTGACAGGGTAGTCCCTCGGGATCTGGATTCTCTCCTCTGATTTATTTATCCCGGTATATCCAAAAAATCGCGCCAAAGTCTCGGCCGTTTCAGCTGAACTTCTCCAAGAGTCTCGAATTTCTTCCGGGAGAGTCCCTCGGGATTCGCGGGCTTTCCCGGTTTATTCATCAAAATCGTCCCGACTGTTTCACTTGGACCTTCTCGCGCGTCCCTCGGGATCCGGATGCTGTCTCTCCCAATTTATTCGCCCCAACCTTCCGGATTCTCGCGAGATTCGCGCCCAAGTTCCTCGCGAGTCCCTCGGGATAGGATGGTCGAGGCATCCCTCGGGATCGGGGGCTTTCTCCCTGGTTTATTCATCCCGGGAACGCCTGTAAATCGCGCAGGAGTTGTTTCGGGGGAACTTCCTCTTGAGGTGCATCGGCCCCCTCGCCGTGCATCACGCCGGTCCTCCCCATAAATTGGCGCAAGTTTTCTTTACCGTATAATAATGGATGGTAAACGAGGCCCGGGATGTATAATGGGAGGGGGACTCCCGAGGGATTTATCGGCACTCCCGCGAAGCGCTTTTTCGAGGCGGACGTCGCGTTTTATGCCCTCGTGAAATTAAATCACCCGGCCGCGACTAATGCAGAAATACGCACCCCAGATTTACCCCTATCAGCCCTGATAACTCTGATAACGGAATTCCACATCTCGCGTAGCGATCTGCCATTTTTAATGAAATCTCGAATATTTTTAAAAGTTCTGAAAAATTCTTCAAAATCGCGCCTCATTGACATAATCACCTCGCGGACCTTCCTCTGATAAGGACATCGTACAAGACAATGGAATTCTATCTCAATACCGCCACCTTAATTTTTAGCAAAATCTCCAAATTTCTTAAAGAGTTCTTACCAAAATTTCCTTCCGATAAGGACCAAGATTGGATATATTTCCCACGTGAGAAATAAATTCCGGGAACATCCCGTGGGATACCATCGTTCGAACTCCCCAATTTCTGGATATCGGGACTCTAATTCTAATCCGGAGCAGTTCGCAAAAGAAATTGGCTTTATCGATAGCGAGCTCGAAGAGTCGATTACCAGAAAGAGATAGAAGGAGACTGAAAGAGGAAGAAGGAAGGACCCCCGGGTTCTTCCCGAATGAGTGAAAGACCCCCGGGAACACGGAAGGCGCCTTAGACCCCCTCCCCCTCTTCCAGGGTTCTCTTCAAGATCTCCTCTACGAGTTCCTCGCACAGAAGAGACTCGCGAAAGTGGGAAATCCTCTTTCCTCCCGGTTTTCCCTCTTCCCACGGTAGAGCGGCAATTAAAGCTCGCGTCTCCTCGATCGAAAAAAAGCCCGAAGTCGCGGGTAAACGAGCGACGTGGAGCCCTCTTCGCGGGGGGTCCTCTCTTCAGGGTCGAGGATCCCCGAGTCGACGCTTCGCGAGGAAAGCTTCCTCTCGTTTTCTCTCTCTTCCGGAAAAGGCGGAAAACGCGAGAATTTACCAGGCACTCGGAGAAGGGAAATGCGAAAATTACCATCACTACGATTTTCGACCGGAAACAATTGCTTTAATTATTAATTAATACGACATCGCGTAAAGTCACTCTTTGAGGTTACTCGAACAGTCATGGCATGGAAAATGTTTTTCCGCGCAGTCCTGGATTTTTGTAAAAATTCGACAGGGCTCGTTAACGGTCAAGGGAGATTTTTGGAAAATGAAAATTGCGGATTTTTTATTTCAAGAGTTTTAACATATTTCACGACAATGACGGATTTTCATTTTATGGAAGGAAGAACTCCCACTTTTCGCCGTCCCTCCCAAGAGAAGCTTTTCCTCTCATCGACCTTCGTCGCGCCTTAAAATGCATTAAAAAGTCTTCCCGTCGACTCCATTCACGGTCCCGAGTCCCCTCCGCAGCCCCGCTTGCGGAACCGCTGCGGAAAAAACGCGGGACCCACCGCTCGATGGCGGATTTTCACCGGGAGAGGCCGGACACCTTGACGATCGTCCCCATGGAAAAAGGGGAACCACCCTTCAACCCTTTAACGAAAATTCCCGACTGCGTTTCCCGCAGCTCCCCGCAATTTCCCGCCTTAACGATGCGCGACGGGGGAAAAGCTTTCAGGGAAAAGCTCTCCGCGCATCTTTTACAGAAGGCGTTTTCCCCATCGGCGCCCGTGAACGGGGAAAACTCGGGAAACGCGGAAAAGCGCCGGGGATTCTATCCGCCACGAGGCAGGGACGCGGCTCCTCATCCCGAGGGAGGAATTAAGGAGGAAACGGGAGGTCGTTCCTATTATCTTGGACCTTCGTTTCCCCAGGATCGGTTCTAATTCCTGGAAATGTCCGCTCTTGGATTTCCTCGGTTTGATATTAATGGTGGACGATATGGGGTCTCCTGGTTCTGATTCCATGGGGTGAACGATGGTATCGTGTGATGGTATTGCCGAGACTATGCGATGATTCCCGGTATCACGTCTTAATTTCTTATTCCTGGTATCATATCTTAAATAATAATAATAAGGGTGGAAATGCTCTTTTTTTTTGCAGCTCTCGACCCTTGCCAGGGTATCCGGTACAAGCTGCACCAGAGACTGCACTCGGGGTGCAGGGTTAAAATAATTAATCACCCCTCGTCGGGATTTATCTGGAGTGCATTTCAGGGGGCGGGACTGCCCCCTCACCCCCTCGCGAAAAACCGCGGACCGAATTTAGACGCGACACCCCTCTCGGGCGAAACTCGACGCAAAGGGCGAGTATTTGTATGCACTCGGGGCAGTGCATTACGAGCCGCCTCCCTTCCGAGCAAACAGCCGCACAAACGCAATTAGTTTCGGACACCGAGAGAGAGTACCTCGGGCCCCCAAGTGTCGGGCCGAGATTTTAATTAATTACTCGGCTAATGAAAATGGAACGAGTCGGGTTAAGCGGATCGCCGATTGCGAGGGAGGCAAATATTTGCCAAGGGCATCCCGGGGATCGATCGGGATCGATCGATCCCGCGGGATGTGTCTCGACACTCACCCCTTTCTGGGAGAGGTCCTTGCCGGGTCGAGATCCTCGGGGATGATGTCTGGGCCCTCCACCTCGGTCCACCTCTCTGCTGGCTGGACTCGTCCTCCTCTCCCCTGAAAGGGAAAGGAATTGTTAATTACTCGTTAAATTTACGTAATTAGATTATTATTTCTTATGTGATGGAGAAACGCGAAATTTACAAATATTAACGCTACCCGATGAGATGAGGAATTGCCTTCCCGTCTCCCGAGGGATACCCCGGCTCTCGCCTTTTTCTCGCCTCCTATCCTCAAGGGAGGAAATTAACCTCACAGAGAGGGAACGTGTTCGCGAAATTTCGGGAATCAATGGGAGAGCGTGTTCCCGGGGAAATTTCGGGAATCAATGTGAGAGATCCTGAGGGAGAAAGGGGATACCCAAGGTCCTCGTCTCCGGGGCCATTATGCTTGCACGCCAAAGGCGGTTCGACTGCAAACGGTGAATAATTCATCGAGCGACGTCACATCAAGGGTTTGCGGGGGGTCGAGGGTAGGAGAGGATTGGGGGTTGTCAAGTCGCTTTCAAGACTCGGGAAAATTTGAAAGAAAAGGTCCTTTCTGAATGTGCGTAATCGAAGGAAATGTGGACGTTCATTCCCGAGGGATATTTTTCAGGAGGATTTTTCGATGATCGGGGAGACAGAAGCGGATACAGATGCGAAGAGGTAAGGAAGGAAAATAAAAATCAAGGAAATCCCTCGGGAGATCGGGAAAACACCCGCGGGGGAGGAGATCCGGATGTCCAGCCATTAATGGTACACTCTCCCGTTAAGTAGCGGAGCTTCTCCGACACGGGTCCCGAGGGATCGAGGGGGGTGCAGGGACGCGGATTACACCCCGGAGGAAGAGGGAGAGGCTCTACTGATAAGGGCGCAAGGCAGGTCCAGAGGGAGAGAAAGCCAAAGGAAAGGAGCGGGAGAAAAAAGGAAGCATCCCTTCGGACTATATACGGGTCTCGGAGGAGGTTATCGGCCAGAAGTCCGACTTCTTCCCGCGGGATCCGCCGCGGCCAATGAGCTGGTCAGTGATAAAGAACCGGCCGGGATGAAAGCGGGTTCTCGAGACGGCCGGCAGGTCGCGCCACTCGCCGGCGCTTCGCTCGCTCGCTCGGATCGACCGAGGGAATTCCCGAGGGACGCGACCGGGACCGGGAAATATTCCCGAAACCCTGGACATAGAAGATTTTGAGAACGAATTTAAAAGTAAAAAATTGGAAAAAAAATTCGGCATCGACGGGCTGCCCCTCAGGGAGTACTTCCCGGTCCAGGAAGTGTGCTCACCGATTCAGGAAGCATACTTTCTGGTCCAGGAAGCCTTCCCTCGAGAATCGCTCCCAAAAAAAAAGATTAACGCAACGAGGCATAATATTTTACAAGGCATACATTTAACCAGAAAAATGTTAACTGCACGTCAAACAAACCAATTTGGGTAAAATTGGGAATTCCTGTTCCCTTAACTGGGAATTTTTTTCCAGGGAAAGTATACAAATTATCCTCCTCCCTTAATTTTTTCTCCCGCAGGGCTTGAGGTCCTCCGGGCCTTGAGACATAGTATCCTCGTCCTCTCCCTTTTTTTTAACAATTTTTCAAAATCAACTCACCGGGACTCTGCGGCTGCATTTCGGAGTCACTCGGGCTGGACACTCTGTGCTCGACCTGAGTCCTGGCCACTCCCGCGGGACTGACCACCCTCTGTCTGGGCAGGTCCTTCAGGATTTCCTGCGACCTGTTAACAGGAAGTCGGGAGCGTTAGCTGCAATTTTCCTCCCGAGTCGGGGAAGAAAGCGCGGCCCGTCCGCGCCGGAAGCCCCGCTGACGGTGCCGTTCCGCGACGCGGGGCGGGGAAACGTGTCACCGGGAAAATTGCAACGTCGACTTACCGCCGGGAGAAAATATTCCGAGAAGGATCGTATCGATGCACCTCCCAAGAGTGTTTCTCTTTCTCCGTCTCTCCTGGCGAGCCCTTCGAGAGCAAGAGAGAGGGAGCGAGCCCGACTCCGATAAGAGAGACAAGGACGAAACGTCCTTACAGATCCTACCGGCCAAGATTCCGGGACAAAAGGGAATGCACTCCAATATACAGCCTCCACTCGAAAGGAGGGCTCGATAAACAAAAATTCATCCCCTCCGCCATTTTTATTTATTTTTTTTTGTTATCAACAGATAAGACTTACGAGGTCGGGCACAGGCGGACGTCGCCGCTGCTGGCGGCGCGGAGGATCTCGACGCGGTCGAGCTGGCGTCCGGAAGCCTGGGGCGTCGACTGGTGCACCGGAAGTGGCTGTCGATGGACGTCGATGGCCCTGGACGGGGTCTTCGATAGCGGGAGGGTCGACAGCCCCGCGGGAGGCTGCGTCAGCGTCCTCTGGGGCAGCTGAGACGTGCTCACCGCCCTGGGAGGAAGAGGGTCCCGTCCGATCACCGATCCCGAGCCGGAAGCTGAAAACGCCGCGAGTTAATGGGCATCCCTCCCTCCCCCCTCTGGGGGGTGTCATCGTGAGGAGGAACAGGTAAGACGGAGGTGTCATCCCCTTGGACGCGATAAAACCGGGGTGACACCTCGCTGAACGTGATAAGACGCTTGGTAAGAATTATTACCGATGATATCTGGAAGTGGCACCCCCCCCCATCATCACTTTTACCCCACTTGAGGGGTGTTATCGTGGGGAGAAACAGGTAAGACGAGGGGGTCACCTCGCGGGACATGATAAGACGCTCGATATCAATTATTTCCGATAATAGGGCGCTGTGGGATGTCCGGAAGTGGTACCCCTGTTACCCCCCTCGGGGTTATCATCCCCAGGACAGGTAAGACGGGGATGTCATCCCCCGGGATCCGATAAGACGGAGGTCGTGAGTCGCCGGTAGCGTCGTCTTGCCGAACCTGATAAGAACGATAAGAATCGCTCCCGGAAGTGGCCGACAGGCGTCCCCGGGATTGGACGGGGTCGGGATTGCCCTTGTCCAATAACGAGGCGGTTCAATTAGAAGTCGTGGGAACACGTCCCGGAAGTTCGGCCAGCGGGGGAATAATCAGGGGGGAGGGTCCGTCCTTATCAGCGACGGGATTGAGGAATTGGATATCTCTCTCTCTCTCTCCTCCTCTGGAGTTCTATATAAGTGTCGCAGTCCCCTCGCTGCATCCCTCGGGACCCAGTTCCCGAAGGAGACTGGCAGCTATTTTTCGAAATTAGGCCGCGTTGCGTTTCCTCCGCGTCTTGGCTCCCGGCCAGCCGAGGTCGGAATTCGTGTCGGGGAATAATCTTGCGGAGCCTCCGCGGGGGAGCCGCATCAGCTGATAAGGGGATTCCTTCGACTTCCCTTCTGTCGCGGGAAAGATACCGAAATCCTTGTCACACGGGGTCATTATTGCAATGGGACAATAATTTAAATCAATCTTCATATTTTCTTTGTTAATGCGGAAAAGTATGCAAAATTAACAAAATGTGCAAAGGGTGAAAAATACACAGTTGTGAAAAAAAAAAATTTACAAAAATATGCGTAAATGCGCGAAAGCACGATTAACAAATAAACCAAGACCTCACATTTTTCAGATCAAAGTTAAAACTAAACCATATAACGCCAAGATTAAAATTTGATAACGCAAGACCAGGGGTACAAAATCAAGACACCGATTTTATTCATGACTACAAAGTGTACAACACTCGGTGTCGCCATCGACGAATGCTCGACCCGAGAGAGAGAGACGCGACAATGAGGACAATTACCGTCCGCGAGGGTCTCCGGTGAATTGGACGCGAAATTCAATTGCACTTCATGCGCGTATGTCGAAGAGGGGGGATAGGGAATGGAGGGGGGAATGTATATACTATGTATGTAGAGAAACGGGAGGGCTCGGCTTTTGCCTCGGGTTTCGAGGCGACGTCGACGTCGACGTCGGGATCGATCGTCGAGGGCCGACCTGGGCTGCCGCAAGTCTCCTCGCGGGGGGTCCCCCCTCCCGGAACAGTGGAGGGCGGGAAAATCGAAACGTCCCCTCAAAACGAACACCGAGAAAAAACGAGAAAGACCAGAGAAGAAGTCGGTGAATTAATTTTAATTCTCTTTAATCCCCGAGGACTGTTATCGTAACTTTTCTCTTCCCCCCCCTCCCCCCCCGTTTTTTCCGGAATTCTCGCAGAACTTCTTTTCTTTCAATCGGGAAATTCGAGGGCACTCGAAACTGCGAGAGAATATGATAAAGGATTGGATTAGAAAAATTATGAATTTTGGTATTATATAGGGATAATTAGTGAATTTCTGTTTATGGGTTGATAAGGATTTCACGATTAGGAAGACGATGACGATTGGACTGAATTTAGGATCCGCGATAATGGGGTGAAATTACTTTTATGCTATTTAAGCGGATAGAGTTGTGGATAGAGGGCGAGATAAGGAACTCCGCGTCTTATCTCCCCATTCGCCTCGGTGAACTTTTTCGGGGGTGAAGAAGTGCGTCCCCCGGGATACGGGACGAGAGACGGGAGGAGCGGTAACGAAGGAAAAACGGGACGGGATTCCGGGACTCCGGGACTCCGGGTCCCGATCCGGAGGGACCGGGACGCGCCTCCGGAAAATGCATGGGATACGCTCATGAGGCTCATGCATTTCAAATGGCACCGACGCCGACCCCGTTTTCCGTGGCCCCTCTCGTGTGCGGAATCCGCGTGCGGAGGTTGGTACCCACCGCAAGGGAGAGTACGTACAGACGTGCCCCCCTCCGGAAACCGCACCCCCCACGCGCCCTCGGGACGTCTGCTCGTCTTTTCCCGCTTTCCGGGATTCCGCAAAAAGTCCTGTACTTCTTCCGCAGACGGATTCCGCGGTTCCCTGGTCGAGGCTCTCCCCTAATCATCCCTGCTGCCTGGACCTGAACCCTTGATAAGGAATATTAATTATCTCGCGTCGTTGGGGATTACTTGATACGGAGTGTTTGGCGCGATACTCTGTCGAGCTTCTTTACTCCGTGACATTTAACCGGACGCTGCAATATACATCCCTGGTAATGATTATTAATTATTAATATGCGCAAATGTATTTGCCGCGAAACTCTGCCGGTCGGTCCATCATAGGTATATGTACATTGATATACCCAGTATGAATAATTCGGAGGGATTTCAAAAGATCACTGTCACGACACGATTTCGATAATTTCGGACGCGAGATAAGAGATATGGAAATTCAATCCGTCTCCTTCCCCCCCCCCCCCTATTCGAGAAACGCCGCGCGTTTCAACCCCGACGTTGACGGATCGATTTCTCGCGGATCGAACCCAAAGTCCAATCGATTACGGGGAGAGACGTTGATCGAATGATCGGCTCCATCAGACGTCGCCCCCGGGATAATTGGGGTGCTTACGCGGATTAACGACGACTGCTCTTATCACCGTATCAGTCGTATCAGCCGATGCATTTCCAGCGCTCCGGCCTTGTCCAGCGCCGCGCAATCGTGCCTCCGCAGGTGCGGATTGATTTACCGCAGTTTTTTACTTCTTTCTTTCCTTTTTTTTTTTGCCAACCACCCCCCGCAAGTCCGACTTCTTCCTTTTTTCCAGGACACGGGTTCGCGCCAGGCGTGACTACGTCGCGTGATAAGCGACACGCGATACCAGAACCGAAGAAAAATCGCGGGGGAGAAAAGGAAACGGAAAAAAAAAAATTACGATGCATCCCGAGATTGCAAATTAATCACGGAGGTCGAAGGCAACCCTTAAAAATATCACTGCTACCTTGCGACATTATTAAAACGTCAAATTAGCTAATTTCACGAGGGGGTGCGCGAACAGGGCTGCGCACTTCCATTCAAGACTTGGCGCTACAACGAAGAGGAGCTCCGTTTCCATTTCTTATTTCTCGCGTTTTCTTCAAAATATTATTCCGCGCCGAAGGACGAACTGTACGTAACTACGTCGTTAAAGCAACCTTCCGCGTATTCCGGCAAAGGGAAAATAAATATTTTCGAGCGGATGATAAACCGAACTCTTCCGCTTCCGGCTCGAGTCGCGACTTCGGGAAGAGGAAGCTCCGACTTTCCCGGTTATTATCGGGTGCCCCTCCTTTCCCTCTCCTTTGACGTCTCCTCCGTTAGCTGATAAAATATTGAATTACCTTCTCGATTCGTACGTCTTCCTATTTCCGCTTCAGGAGGTCCGTCTGTCCGTTCTACGCGGAAGTCGAAAAATCGGGACAGGAGCAAAAATTCGGAGGGAAGGTTATTTACTTTTCTTTTCCTTCCTAGGTCTTCTCACGGAATTAGAAATTTAACCGCGAAGGGATTTTAAAAATCGAAACTCGACCGGGATACACGGTCCATTGGATATCACGGTCCATTTATGAGGAGTCCCGAAATTCGGAGTCCCGAGGGACCGTTAAGTCCAGTTTTTTTACTTACTTCTTTTTTTTTTTTTTCGTACGGATCTCATTTCCGCTTCTCAGCAGATTTTTATGGTATCGCAGAGATCCGCACGGCGTACGGCAACGTGTAATGGAGGTGGCTTTAAATTTTCCGCGGCGGAAGCGCCGCGCGGAATCGCCGCGACGTGTCGGGAATCCGCGCTTTCTCCGCCTCTTTCTCCGGAAGGACTTCGAAAGTCGCTTTCATCGGGTTCGAGGGAAAATCCCGACCTTTAATGCGCAGATCAGAATTTTCCCGATTTTCCGGCGGCTATATTTATTTACTTATTTATTTCTCGGTGAAATTCGCTCTTCCTGGGTGGAGGAGAAGTCGACCATTCCCGGGACAATTTCGGCAACTGTCGAGCGCTTTGGCGGACATTAAACTATCCGATTTCGTGGCCGAACGATTTACGAAATGGCCGGGTGATTCATGGGCAGTGAACGCCCGGGGCAAACAGATTTCCAGATAATGCCAGCGAGGTGAATTTTTATCCGCGAAAGTGGACATTCCACCGCGAGATTTCCACCTATTTTTCTCTCCTTTCCAGTCCGAAAAATTCCCCCCGAGTCCCTCTTCAAGGTCTCCCCCCTCCATTAAATCCCCGCGTCACGGAAAAAAAAAAGAACCCTCGAAAATTAATAATTAACCCCGTGGTCCCCACACGTGCGTCCGACGTTTGGTCCAATATCGCCAGCCCGCCCCAGCGAAATTCGCCCATACGCCAGAAGGACTAAGCGCTCATAGGGTTAAGAACCAAGAAAAGGATTATCCTCCACTTATTATACAATTTTTCGGGATAAAACTTCGGCATTTAAATCCTTCAATTCCGCGACGAGTTCTTCCGCAATGTCCCTCGGTTCTCGTTCCGAATTTATAGAAAAAAAAAGATGAAAAAAAGAAGAATGAGTGGAGGCGTCACGGGTCTCCCATTCGGGACGCGTCGCGGGGATGCCCTGTAAAATGGTACAATGGTAAAACGGTAACGGATCGCGGCGTTACGGACTATTTAGTCGTAAAACGGCCGTTTCGCTGGGCATGAAAGC